GAAACCCATTTTGGTGTTAATAGAAAACTTGTAGAGAATCAAAAATTAGGCTTATAGCCAAATTTCCAAAAAGATACACTTAGTAGTTTCGCTTAAAATGCAAGTTTTGTTGCAAGTTTTGTCAAAATTCGTAAATTTGGCATTTCTTGAAAACCAGTTTTTGAATCCTCCTGAAAGTTTGGCTATAAGCCTAATTTTTGATTCTCTACAACTTTTCCATTGACACCAAAATGGGTTTCTTTTGAAGAAAGTGCTCAAACTGTGACATATCACAATATCACAAAATTTTTGTATTCTGTTAGATTGGTTAGCTTCAAGTTATTGCATTGGTGAATTGAAAACCGCGGGCTATTGTCATATGTGACAGTTTGAGCACTTTCTTCAAAAGGAACCAATTTTGGTATCAATGGAAAAGTTGTAGAGAATCAAAAATGAAGCTTATATCCAAATTTTTAGAACGATTCAAAAACTGGTTTTCAAGAAATGCCAAATTAACGAATTTTCACAAAACTTGCATTGTAAGCGAAACTACTAAGTGAATCTTTTTGAAAATTTGGCTGTAAGCCTAATTTTTGATTCTCTACAACTTTTCCATTGACACCAAAATGGGTTTCTTTTGAAGAAAGTGCTCAAACTGTCCCATATGACAATAGCCGGCAGTTTTCAATTCACCAACCCAATAGTTTAAAAATTTTTGTATATTTAGTTACTGAAAGTATGTATTGTTGATTTGATAGTATACTGCAGTCAGAAAGGAACTTCAATAACAGTTTAGATGTTAACCTTTTGAATCAAAATCAATATTAAGCCTTTCACTTTTGTCAACAAGTTTACTTTTTGTGGATCAATGAAAATTAGAGTCCTAAACCACGTTGGGAAAAAATTTTCGTAACCTTTTCACTCGTCAAAACACAAGTTTTTAACAATGAATCCTTTGTATCTATTGAAATTCACGATTGCGGAAGTTGGACCCGCATTTTTCTTACTTTAATGTCAAAATATTGACTTTTTGAGATGGCTTTATAAGAAAAATTGAATGACTTTTAAGAAACTCGATGAATTAAAACTAAATTCATAACATGAATTCATGAATTTGATCCCTGTGAGCCCCTTCTCTAGCACCCTTGCCCGAATCCGTCCTTGGGCCCTTCCAAGTCCTTACTTCTTTCTTTTTTCCTTTTCTCTTTCTTCTTTTCCTTTTCTCTTTCTTCTTTTTCTTTCACTTCCCCATTTTCAGCTTTAGATATCGTTACAGTTTTCCTTAACTTTTATTCCATTCTTTATACATCTTTTTAAAGCTTTATAACAAAAATCTTCAACAAAACAATACAAATAAACTTTACACTTTCAGATTTTATTCCGCAAAACTGGTGAAGGGGTTTAAATTTGAGGGGCGGATCTCGCCAGAAATTTGGCATAGCCTAGAGCCGTTTTCCTCCCGAAAAGATCAAAGGAAGGAGAAAAGAAGAGGAAAATCGTGTCGTCAAAAAGTGGGGGTTGGAAAAGAGGAAAAGGGGGAAAGATGGGGAAAAGAGGGAAAAAACGAAGAAAGACGGGGTCTCTAGGGGGAAAAAAGGCAAGGCAGAGCTCTTTCTGGACTCTTTCTGGACCCTTCTCCAGCTCCCTCCATCCCCCCGAGCATCGAGCGTGCCCTGGGAGCTCCTTCTCTAGCACCCTTGCCTGAATCCGTCCTTCGGCCCTTCCAAGTCCTTACTTCTTTCTTCTTTTTCTTTTCCCTTTCTTCTTTTTCTTCCACTACCCCATTTTCAGCTTTCATTCACTCTTTTTACTATGCCCATCCAAGCTAATACACTACCCAACAACACGTTATTACGCTCGCTTCCTTGATTGCGGAATTTTTTATGAGCAGCTTTAGATTTTATTATTTTCTTTTTCTCAAATGCTTCAGTATTCTGTATAATACTTTTCAAAATCTAGAATATTTACTTGTTTGCATCCAAGCTTACAGTTTGATCCAAGCTTACAGTTTGGTCCAAGCTTACAGTGTGATCCAAGCTTACAGTTTGATCCAAGCTTACAGTTTGATCCAAGCTTACAGTTTGATCCAAGCTTGCAGTTTGATCCAAGCTTACAGTGTGATCCAAGCTTACAGTTTGATCCAAGCTTACAGTTTTACTTTAAAAAGCTTACACTTTTACTTTAAAAATATTTTTATTTTCTTATCATTATCCCTGTGGAATGGTGATTGAATCAAGTTTGCCTGTCTAGATTTTCGCTTAAAATTTTAGTTTAATCCATCTCTCAAACCAATCCTTCCCACTTTTGTGAAAATTATTACGCTCCCCGTCAAAGCAAAGGATTTCAAATGGATTTTAGGTGGGATTTATTAACCCAATCACACTTAGATTCTCATAACAATTCTGATGACTGCCTTTGCTATCCGAAATACAAGGATAATCTGCTATAGCATTTGCAAATCCCAATTCTTCGATTCCCTATTTTGGTTTCTAATTGTAAGCAGTTTTCCCGTAAACAACTAGTGAACCAGGGATTATTTAAAGCATTTAAAGCAATCTTCTCTTGACCTCAAAAATCACCCTACTCTAAGCTGATCTTCGGTTGCTCTAGACTTTAAAAACTGAGCAACTGCGCAACTGATCAATTCATTTTCCATTCTTTTAAACAATATTTTAGGATCCTTTTGCCAGAAAATCAGTTAGTGTCGCAGTAAAACTCCTAAGGGAAATTCGAGTTTTCTTTTTTTCTTTAGGGAAACCTCTTCCCCTTCCAATTTCGGTTTCATTCCGTGTTTTTGCTAGCGGTCCCAATGGGGTTTAAAGAAAAACCATCGAAACCCAAGAATCACCTCCGAGAATTGATGACATGCTATTGAAATTGCAATTGAAAGTTGCTGGGTTTGATAAGGGAAGATTTAATAGCCTAATTGTAAGTCTAATTAAGCTTATTCAGCTTTACGTTAAAGCCAAATCGGAAATTAAAAGCTGGCTTGAGCAAATTTTAGGTTGACCGATAGGTCGTGATTTAAAAAGCTATTTAGAAATAACCAATTTATTTATTGACCTCAAAAATCACGTCTACTCTAAGCTGATCTTCGGTTGCTCTAGACTTTAAAAACTCAGCAATTCATTTTCCATTCTTTTAAACAATATTTTAGGATCCTTTTGCCAGAAAATCAGTTAGTGTCGCAGTAAAACTCCTAAGGGAAATTCGAGTTTTCTTTTTTTCTTTAGGGAAACCTCTTCCCCTCCCAATTTCGGTTTCATTCCGTGTTTTGCGAGCGGTCCCAATGGGGTTCAAAGAAAAACCATCGAAACCCAAGAAAAGAGAAAAGGCAGTGAGCAATGTTCCTACTCCTTCTTCTTCCCATCCCTTTGGGGAGTTTCATTACTTCTCTATGTCTCAATTTTTCTTTTTCTTTGGGTTCAACTCTTGGACCGATTCGCTGGGAATTTCATTTCCTGGATTTGGTTTGGCGAGGTTCAAACTAATCACCAAAGCGTGTTTTGTTTTTTATAAAATTGAGATGAGTCGATGTGCCCTTTCCTTCAACTTGCTTTGCCCTTCAACTCTTCAACTTCCGCGTAGTTATCGCTTGAACTTGGCTCTTTTATCAAGTTATCAAGTTGGCTCTTTTATAAGTCTTTGGACATCTTTTGTTTAGACATCTTATGAATTTGTTTGACCTAACAATTGTCTACAAGTCCAACAATCTTAGTTTGACCGATAGGTCTTCATTTAGCTTTAGCTTTATTCTTTTAGCACACCAGGAAATGAAAATGAATCCCTTTAAAGGAGACAGGCCATATGCACATTTGGACGGAAGGAAATGGCCCCCAAAAAAGCACTCTTTGACGATCGTTTCACGTCAAAAAGGCAAAATTTTAAAGCTTTAGAGCTGCAAAAAGTTTTAGAGCTCATTTTTGCATTCCCACCCCTTGAAAAGCACAAAATTTCTCGAGAAATCTTAATCCAAATATTTTATTTGGTGTGAAATTGAACTTTGAAAAGTTTTCAGGCAAAGAAATTTGACTAAGAAGTTAAGGCAAAGTTGGAAACATTGAAAAGCTCTAAGTCGGATTAATCTTTTCCAACAACAGGAAATACCCACTGATTTTCTAGTTTCCAACTTCTTAGTCAACTTTTTAGGCACTGATTCGATCAAGTGATTCATTGGATTACCGATAAAAAGTATGAAATGAAAAACTAAGGCTCACAATTTTGAATATGGTACATTTTCAAGAGCTGAAAAGCTGAAGTGTCATCTTTTGCTATTTCCAGGAGCCTTATTTAGCTTTCAAAGAGGCTTTTTGCTATTTCCAGGAGTCCAGTTTAGCTTCTTACTGTTTAAAGACAGTTTAAAACACTTAAAAATTGGTTTTAGTGCTTTAACAAAAAAGTAAAAAGATTTTGACAGTGAGGGGATTCAAAACAGGACAAGAGGTGTAAAAGGACGAGCACACTATCCGTCTTCGGTCACTTCTCAGAGGAAAATACCGGATTTTTCTAATAGTAGTGATTTGAGAAAGCTAAAGTTTAAAAGCTTTTGCTTTTAAACTTTAGCTTTCTCAAATCTTTTGCTTTTTAAGCTTTTTTTCCCCTTTTAGCCCTTATTTTTCAGCTTTTCTCCTTTTTTTTCCACACTTTTCTCGGCCACGTTTATGCATTTCTAAATCCACCACATTTATGCCCCGTGGGAAAGTTGAGAAAAGCTTTCTCTTTGCACTAAAGTTTTTTGTTTAAACAAGATTTTGCTGCAATTTTGCTAAGTTGTTTCATAATTTTTTTGCTTTTTTTCTCATGAGTAGTTTGCAGTTTAAAAAGCCAGTGATCTTCTGCTTTTCAAAAATTCTTCAAACTCTTCATTCTCTTCATTTTATTCTCTTCTCCTACTCTTCATTCTCTTCTCTTACTCTTCATTCTCTACTCTCACTCTTCATTCTCTTCACCTACTCTTCATTTTCTTCTCTTCATTTTCAAACTCTTGATTTTCAATTAAAACAAGTCAATTCTTTAGAAAAATGGCCGATCCACCAAGTGGCCGATCCACCAACTCCGAAAAACCCGTGTGGATCTATGTAATCTTCCGAAAAAATCACTGCTCTGGACATGAAAAGGTATTTTTTCCAAAGCCAACCCCATTTCATCAATCCAAATCACAGCAGTTTTTGATTGAAGAAGGCATCAAAGTGGAACCGGTAAAGTAGACAACAAAACCAGCTAATCAATGCTTCACTAACGAGAACACTGAATTTTTACGAGCCGTTGAATTTAGATGACAGTGAACTTGTCGGTTGATGGACCAGTGTTCTGGACGAGACAAGTTGCCTACATCTATCTCTGCTCATGTCATTTTGATGAACATGAGGTGAGTTTTTCAAAACATCAAAAAACAATGAAGTCATTGCTTCATTGGTTAAAGTTAAGGCTGAAGTTAGGCTAAGTTATGGCTAAAATTTTAAGGCTGGAGGGAAGGGACCAGGGTTATTTATTTTTCGAGTCTTTCAAAGCTTTACTGTCTGCTAGCTTGGCTCATTAAAAGTCCAGAAGCCAGGTTCTAGGCAAGCTCTAGGACAGGCTCTAGGCTTGCCTTGCCTAACCGGTAATCTGGCTTTGCTATAGGATTGGCTAGAGGAAAACTCCAAAAGCCAGGTTCTAGGCCAGGTTCTAGGCCAGGCTCTAGGCCAGGCTCTGGGCCAGGCTCTAGGCCGGGCTCTAGGCTTGCCTTGCCTAACCGTTAATCTGGCTATGCTATAGGATTGGCTATAGAAAAACTCCAAAAGCCAGGTTCTAGGCCAGGCTCTATGCCAGGCTCTAGGCTTGCCTTGCCTTGCCTAAACGGTAATCTGGCTTCGCTATAGCGTTGACCTACAAAAAGGTCGAGCTTAAAACTAAAACTCTAGCCTGGCTGCAAAAAGATCAACTCATCTCTGGTAATTGTATAGTTTCTTCTATAGTTTTCTGATTCTTGCAATAGTTCTTGTATAGTTTTCCTGGTTTTCCCCTTCAAATTGATGCTCTTTCATTGTTGGGATTGCATTGCTTTTTCAATGACCCTTAAGTATCGCATTTCATCGATATACAAGAAGACTAGTAATTCAAGAAAGATCTCCATTTAGGAATCAAAAAATAAAAGCATCTATACAACTCTTTGAGAGAAAAGTTGAAGAAAACTATAGAATTGTAAGAAGCCTTAAATCAAGAAAGTTTTAGCTTTTTAGTAAACAATTTTTCTAGCCTTTCTAGCTAAAGCCAGATATTTTTGACCCATTTTTTAGTAAACATCATAAGCTTGTGGTGATTCACAAATCGGATTTTAACTCCTCACCAGCTTTGGCTATTCCTGGCACCACAATCCTTTACTAAAACTTTTTCAAAAAGGCAGCTATCGTCGCCTAAATCTTTGCACATTTGAAGAGGCGGATTTTTGAGCTTTTCCCCAAAGCTTTTGAGCTTTTGAGCTCTTCCCTCTCGTGTTTTTTTCTGACTATGAGTCAAATCAAAGCCGAAACATCGCCTTTCGGTCATCAATTGTAAAGAGAAATGTTTCTTCAAAAGAGTGATGGAAAAGTGGACATTCGGGGAATCTTTTGAAATCTCCATTTTGAAAGGGCTGATTTGAGAGAGCTTTGAGAAAATTCGGATAGGTGAAAAGAAAAGTGAAAATGTTCTCTGTACAATGATATAAAAAGTTTACAAAAATATAATATCTGGACAAAGTTATAGGCCTTCAAAGTGTGACGACCTGTTCAAAATATCCGGATTCCTTCAAAATACCTGAAAGCCTGGAATACCTGGAGTACCTGGAAACCTGGAAACCTGAAAATTACCCAAGAGCCAAAGATTCTTTAGATTATGTACTTTGCTCTCCTCCCCAGTAACTTATTCCACAAAAAGCGGAAGTGTCTCGTAGCAGTTATAAATTTCCCCTCGAAATATCGTTCACTCAAACTTCCATTACCGTATTGTGGGGCAACTTGGGGTGATTGATGAGCTAAACTCGAAAGAAGTAGACGAGTTAGAGATGGGTTGTTGAAAGTGGCCCTGGGGAGGGTTTGAAGGAAAGAATTGAGAAAAAGGACTTCCTTCTAAGTTGAACCCCCCATTTAGAATCGGTTCTTCTAAGCTGAGCTCTTCTCTTTTCTTTTCTCAGTTTATGTCCAAGGGTCAGCGGATGGACGGAGAAGTGAAAGGCGAATAAAACCGCCATCAACTTGTCCACCATCAACTTGTTTCTCGAACAAGTTTTTTCAGCTTCAGTGATCACATTGAAATGTTTAGAGAAAGAGTTGAAATGTTGAAATTGAAAAGTGACTGCGACTTGGGATAAACTTTAAAATAACGGGTTTAAAATAACTGGTTTACATAAAATTTCAGTAACATAACAAGTTTACTTACAAAATTTTACATTTTATCGATTTCCAGGGACCATTGATGGCGTTGATGAAGAAATTCGAGGAGCGCGTTGAGAGAATATGTATGGTGGATCGGCCGGTCGATTTTTCGTTCTTGCCCGATAGCATCTTTCGCTATATGGCTTTATGCATGCCAAGATTACAGGTAAAGCTAAAGAATGTTTGCATACTTGTTAGAATATAGAAATGTTAGCATACTTGCCTAGAAAAAGAGTCTGAGTTAGGACCGATTCTCATAAAAGTCAAATTATCGACAATTGGATTATGGTAATCTAATTTTTGATGCTTTTTATGTAGAAATGAATAACGTAAATCGATTTATCAATAATTTGATGGTTTAAGTGGTGAAATCAGGTTTTCAGGTCATTTAAATCTTGAGCATTTCACAATCAGCTTACAATTAGCATTCTAGTTAAAAACCCCAGGTTCCAATCAGTAGACTTAATAAAATGAGTAGCTCCAATCGATTTCTCAATCCCAAAAACCCCCGGGTACAAATTTACAGCTTAATATCTTCATTTAGACCCATCTACAAAGAATTTTGAGGTTTTTTGGCTTAAATTTGCTTGTATTGGGTTGGTGAATTGAAAACTGCGGGCTATTGTCATATGTGACAGTTTGAGCACTTTCTTCAAAAGAAACCCATTTTGGTGTCAATGGAAAAGTTGTAGAGAATCAAAAATTAGGCTTATAGCCAAACTTTCAGGACGATTCAAAAACTGGTTTGCAAGAAATGCCAAATTTACGAATTTTCACAAAGCTTGCATTTTAAGCGAAACTACTAAGTGTGTCTTTTTGGAAATTTGGCTATAAGCCTAATTTTTGATTCTCTACAACTTTTCCATTGACACCAAAACGGGTTTCTTTTGAAGAAAGTGCTCAAACTGGGACATCTCCAGTCTCCAAACTAGGACAATCCTGGAAACCTCCGGGTACAAATTTACAGCTCAATATCTTCATTTAGGGCCATCTACAAAAAATTTTGGAAATTTTTTGCCTTAAATTTGGTTGTATTTTTGGTACAAATTCCACCTCTTTTAAACTAAAGCCATCCAAAATACTCAACCCCAAAAACGGACCTTAAAAGCTGATTTCATCTCTTCAAAAAACCAAAATATTCTTGATAAATCGATTTACTTTAGTCTTTTCTACATAAAAACCATCAAAAATTACCGTAAATGCTGCATTAGAATGACACTCGCTTACCCATCGAAATTTTGACTTTAGACCGACTTTATGGGGGTTCTATGAATAATGAATAGATCTGAACCTAAAACCTAATAAAATCATATCGGCAGTAGAATTTAAAAAGCTATTTTTTTAAAAAATCTAAAAAAATAACTTTTTGAAGAAAATCATAAGGGTCCCCACATCGTTTTTTTACTTCTATATATTTCTTTTTCTGATTTGAAATCAAATAGAAGTACATCTTAGGGTAGAAATAACAGCTGAACAGGACTGGACAGAAGAACAGAAGCCAAAACAACCCCTTAGCTTGGCTCGTTTAGCATTGACTTTTAAATTTCCCGTCATGGTCACAAATATGACGTCAGACTGTTTTCACCTTTTTGCTCTACGGGGTAACGGGCAATGAAATAATTTCACTTTTAAACGTGTTTTTTATACGTTTTAGACAAAGGGTCATCGTTTAAAATAGTTTTTAACAAATTCTAATTTTTTTAATTCTTGTAGTCCCCCTTACCAATTTTTTGGATCCGTCGATTTTGAGGGGTTGAAAAATAGAGCGATATGTCGCTCTATTTAATGATTTTTGCATCAAAATGTTCGTAAGAGTCTCTAGAATAAAACTTATCCCTTTGTTTTTGGTCCTAGACCCTCGTTGTCGAGTTACGAATCCCAAGCTGCAGGATACCACAAAATTTCCCATACAAAATGACCAAAAAATCGCTAAAACTAAATTTAAAAAATTTCTGTCAGAGGGATTTGAAAAATTCCTTTAGATTCGGAATCAGCACAATTTTCCGCATCTAAAAAAGGTACTCCCAGAAAAATCCGATAGAAAACGCATTTTTGCCTTATTTCGCGCCGATGTGTAGCGTACTGATGACTCCTACACACGCCACTTTGCATACGCTTTTAATTTACATACATGATATTATAGTAAGACATAAGGCCCTACCTTAACGGCAATAGGATACGTGTCGGTGTAGCCATTTGGTAGAACTGCCATTTGGTTGTATGGCAAATTTTGTGGTACCCTGCAGTTTGGAGCTCGTAACTCGACAACGAGGGCCTAGAACCAAAGACGAAGGGATACGTTTTATTCTAGAGACTCTTACGAACATTTTGATGCAGAAATCATCAAATTTGCTCAACTCTACAAAAGTTATAACATCTTTAAAGAAATTTCTGTAAGAGGGATTTGAAAAATTCCTTCAGATTCGGAATCAACACAATTTTCCGCATCTAAAAAAGGTACTCCCAGAAAAATCCGATAGAAAACGCATTTTCGCGCCGATGTGCGACATGTCATTGCTAATACAGCTAATACGGTTGAAATAATCGAATGAGCCAGCTTTTTGAACAGCATTTGACGGTATACTATCACACCGAATTCCTGATAATTTGGTTTTATTGAGAGCTGATCCCTTTAATCTAACTCAAACTTCAACTTCCAGTTCATCTACATGCGCGAGCTCGACCTCGAGAAGATCAATCGAGGCACAGTCGTTGAATTTGCTTCTCATAAAAATTTGAAAAAGGTAATTGGGAAATCTTTATTTAGCTGTAAGTAAAATTGCTTTATTTAGCTTATTGTGCACATGTGTCGAAACTATGACGTCTTGGAGGATTTCAGCCAACTTCCACAATTGCTTGTTGTCAAGGGCGAGATCATGGGGCTCAAGGTTTGACCAAAAAGCTTGAATTCAAAGCTTTGATTCAGTTCAAGTTACATGTCGTTTTTTGAAGTTTAATACTTTTCATTATAGTATACTGTAACAAACCAAGTTTGAGAATCTGATGGACGTTCCTAGCTGATAAATAGAGACAATACCGTTCAACTTTGCGTTTTCCGGTTTACTGTCTGTCTGTCTGTCTGGTTTGTCTGTCTGGTTTGTCTGTCTGTCCGTCTGTTTGTCTGTCTGTCTGTCTGTCTGTCTGTCTGTCTGTCTGTCTGTCGTTCGTCTGTCCGTCCGTCCGCCCGTCCGTCTGTCTGTCTATCTGTCTGTCTGTCTATCTGTCTGTCTGTCTGTCTATCTGTCTGTTTGTCTATCTGTCGGTCTGTTTGTCTGTCCGTCTGTCTGTCGGTCTGTCTGTCCGTCTGTTTGTCTGTCTGTCCCTCTGTAAAAGTGTTGTAAAAGTCTGTCTAAAGAGTCTTTTTGTTCCAATAGTCAGTTAATTACAAAAACTTCATTCTAGGCAATGCTTGGCAACTTTGATGATGAAATCACTGAAGTCTCTCCAGGCTCAGATGGAACCAAATCCGAATCAACTTCCCAATCCGAAGCAAGCTCTGAGAAGGGATCGGAAAAAGGATCCGAACTTGATCTCTCCGAGATGAGAACCGCTCTCGAAGTGGCTGATGGGCAATAAATGATTGTTGTTCAATTTTCTAGCGAGAAATATTTGACCTTTGTTACAGAATAAAAGCTGTTTAGAATAAGGAAGTTTATCTAAAAATTAGAAAAATTATTCACCAACATCTTTTCCAAATCTCCAACAATTTTTGATCTCTATCCGTTACATTTATTTTTCCATTTTGTCAGCTTACGATTAAACTTTGTTCTTCGATTTTCTTTAACGCTTTCGTGTTGTTCTCTTTAAATCAAACTGCCACTTTAGGAAATAATTTCTGATTTCCCTGACATTTCCCCGCCATTCCGTCAAAAATCTTCAACTTTTGTCGTCTATAATTTTACAATTTGTTTTTTTCCAACTTGTTATGATTTTTAATTCCCCCAATATTTTCTCCAAGTCAAAATGGTCTTCAAGTTGCCTTTTTTCGTACCCACAAAGCTTTCTTAAAATCGCTAGCCAATAAACATTCTTAAATACGCCTTTTTGAAGCACACGGTAGCATTTCCAAATGCGTTAAAAGTTACTTTTAGAAGACTAGTAGAGCTTTTAAATGATCACTGTAACTGTAAGTTAATTGAAGCACTAGTTAACTCCCTCTGGAGAAAGGAAGATCAAGTGCGTTGTGGTGTAATGGTTAGCCAAGTGGCCGGTAAGCGAAAGGTCACAGGTTCGAGCCCCGGCGGTGCACGAATTTTTGATCTGCTCTAGTTCCAACTGGTGACCCCAGAAGTATGGGTCCTGCAATGCCGGCTAAGGTCTTCATACCTAGTTGCGAGCGTACCTCAGGCCCAAGGCCTATAAATCAAGACGTGTGGAACCGTCACGTCTAGGGAGGAGGGAAGTTAACTCCCTCTGGAGTAAGGCAGATCAGGTACGTTGTGGTGTAATGGTTAGCCAAGTGGCCGGTAAGCGAAAGGTCACGGGTTCGAGCCCCGGCGGTGCACGAGTTTTTGATCTGCTCCAATTCCAGCTCACTAGTTATTACTATTACAGTAAGCCATGTCAACACAGTGCCCATTAATTTCAGATGTTCTGTTTTTTACATATTTTCACAAATATTTTATTTATTGAATCAAAGAACAAAATTCATTTTTGCAAAGTTTAACACACTTCTGCTAGGTTTTCTTAGCCAAACTCTGGTCCAATCAAATCGCAAGCGGACTCGCTTACTATGTATTAGCATTTAGACTGGTCTAATTTCCTACATTTTGATGATTGAAATCCGATCTTTATTCCGAAAATATGGACTAAGCTTTCGCAGTTTCACACATTCATGACGAGGCTTTTTGATTTTTGCCTACATTATTTCCCTTCCAGCTCATCTAAAAACGTTCACAGACAACCGATTTACTTAAGTTAGGGACCAAAACGAAGAGAAATGTTTCACCATCATTTATCTAAAAACAGATTAAGGAAATATTGAGTTTGAAGAAAGTTCCGAATGTTTTAGCATGAGAAATTTCCCGCATCACCGGTGATCCGAGAATAAATTTGCATTCAAAGATTCATAACTCTCTTTAAAGTCATTATTTTTTCAAACAGTTTCCAGATAAATGATTCTCAAATATTTCTCTTCATTTCGACTCCTAACTTAAGTAAATCGGTTGCCTGTGAACGTTTTTAGACGAGCTGGAAAAGAAAGAAAAGGCAAAAATCAAAAAAACCTCTTTGTGAATGTGGTAAAATCAAGTTTTTGACAGAAATATTGAAAAATTTCATCTAAAACAGGTTTATTTGACAAAATCTAAGTTCTGGATAGTTTTTACTCTTCATTTTGATTCCTAACTTAAGTAAATCGGTAGCCTGTGAACGTTTTTAGACGTGCTGAAAGGGAAATAACTTACGCAAAAATCAAAAAGCCTTGTCATGAATGTGTTAACCATCTATAGCTCATAAAAAACCCGCTAACTATTAAAATGGCTAACGAATTCTTAAAATTCAGTTGATCTTTCCATTAACTAACTGTAATGAAGTAATGTAATGAAGTAAAGATTAATCATAAAATTAATTTCGTTTTAAATTCGAAAAGACTAGCTCATTTTCAATGAGAAGCTCACAAATATGCCAATGGATGAGATGGAGAGGCCAAATGGATGAGATGGAGAGGCCAAATGGAGAGACCCGGGGGGTCCACCAAAAAGCCATTGAATAGCCTAGTGAATGGGAGTGGAGAGACGGCTAAAGGGGGGAAAGAAGACAGAAGACAGAAGAAACGCAAGAAACGAGAAGAGGGAGTCTTTGGAAAGATTTCCCTTCTAGGGTGGGGGTCCAATCGATGCTTGTCCCGGGACACCCCTCGTGGGCCCTCCCCTCACCCCATCCTTCCACCGGCCTGTGTCCCCCTCTGACTTGGGTCCCCCTGCTGCCCACCCCCCTTTTTTTCCGTCTTTACATGGACCATGTCTCAATACAAGGAAAGATACGAGGTGGGTCTTGTTTTATCTTCTCTTTCAACTCATCAGTGATAATTATAGTTTTCTAGTTCGCGGATAGATTTTTGGGAACTCTTGCGTAAAGACGAGATTCTTAAAATACATTTAGCCTCTGAGGCTTTGAATCTTTTTGTTACTTGAAGTAGGAAAGTCGATCGAACTTACTATTGATTCAAATGAAACACTTGATTTGATTGATTGATTTAATTGATTTGATTGATCGATTTGATTGATTGATTCAAATGCAATACTCGATTCAAAAAGTTGGTCTTATATTGCAAGCTTTAAGCTGAATTTCTAGCTCAATTTCTTTAAGATAACTCAATTGAAAACATTGAAAAGCTCTGAGTCGGATTAATCTTTTCCAACAACAGGAATTACCCACTGATTTTCTAGTTTCCGACTTCTTAGTCAACTTTTTAGGCACTGATTTGATCAAGTGATTCATTGGATTACCGATAAAAAGTATGAAATGAAAAACTAAGGCTCACAATTTTCAATATGGTACATTTTCAAGAGCTGAAAAGCTGAAGTGTCATCTTTTGCTATTTCCAGAAGCCTTATTTAGCCTTCAAAGAGGCTTTTTGCCATTTCCAGGAGTCCTATTTAGCTATTTACTGTTTAAAGACAGTTTAAAAGACTTAAAAATTGGTTTTAGTGCTTTAACAAAAAAGTAAAAAGATTTTGACAGTGAGGGGATTCAAAACAGGACAAGAAGTGTGAAAGGGCGAGCATACTATCCGCCTTCGGTCACTTCTCAGAGGAAAATACCGTATTTTTTCTAATAGTAGTGCACCCCAGCGAGCCGAGTTGGGGACGATTTTACGGTTTCCAAGCTTCTTCAGAAGCCCGACACTCTAATCTCGCACTAGATCTCATCGTTAGCTACATTTTCCGATCTCACATCAATAGGTTCTGATAAGCGGTTCTCGAGATTTCGAGCAATTTAGGCGACGCTCACGGTGAACTACTATTCGAGAAAATTCGGTAATTCGGCTTCACAACGCAGCGCTGTTTTTCCAAAAAGTGCTCAAGCTTCAAAAGCAAAAGCAAAAGGATGCTATAGAGTAAAACTGAAAAACACGTATCCTTTAGAATTTGAAGGTGGCGTTCCAAGTCCCATATCTTAAATCAATGCTAAGTTAAAGCAGTTTCCTAGTAAGAAGTGAGTTGTCTTTGAAGGAGTACAAGTTTGAAGGAGCACAAGTAGTAGAGTTTCTTAGGCTTCGTAAATTCTTAATCAATTTTTGCAAGTGTGAACTTGCTGATCTTTTTGTTATCTCTTTACCTATCAAAGCTAGAGTTTAATGCTTAAAATTAGCATTCTTAAAATCAACATTCTTTGCTTTAATATTAATTTTACTTCATTTCTAAAAACTGTTGATCATTTTTATTTTACCAGCATCTCGCATAAATCCCTAACTATTAGGCTGTCCAGAAAGTCTTTTCGTTTCTTTTCGTTTCTTTTCGTACTTCTGTTGAAAAATAACAGCTTAACCAATTAATCGATGGACATTTGATACGCGCCCGCCCCTTTTTCCATTGGAAATTTAACTTTGAGCTTTAAATATCTTTGTGTTTGGGTGTTCAATTTAAATATTCTTGGTATCATTAGATGCGCTAAGTTTTTCTCTGTCGATTGGTACAAAAACTATTTCAATTGAACAGCCCAACGCCGAGATTTTTGAGCTGAAAGTTGGATTGCCAATGGCAAAGGGGCGGGGCGCGTATAAAAGGTCTTTCTGGCCTCGCCCCCATTAACCTATGGTTTTCTCTAAATAAAAAGTTTTTATTGTTCAATTTCCCATCTTTTTAAGTTAATTTGGCTTTATTTTTAAGCAAATTCGAGAGTGAAAGAGTGTTTTTTCGAGAAATTCGATAGTGTTTTTTGTAAAAATCTATAAAAAGCTCTAAGAAGAAGCTGGCTAAATCAATTTCTCTGAAAATTTGCCTATATACTAAACGTTTTGTGCTCTATCTTTTATCTATTGGCCCCAAGATAGGTTTCCTTGGCATAAAGTGTCTAAATCGCATCATCGAGCCGTCCTTTCGCTCAATTGTCTTTGAATTTTGAAGATAAGCTTTTCAACTAAAGTGTAACAGTCTCACAATGAGTATTAATAGCTGACAATAAGTTGATACTTAACTAGACTTGCTGAAAAATGGATTTGATATTAGATTTTTTGGTTTAATACAATATTAAGCGCACTTTTTCATGAAAAAAAGCTGATTTTGCCAGAAAAGAAACCTGCCTCCAATACTTGCCTCCAATAAAAAGTACAGTACAGCTAGAAAATTATATAGTTTAGCTACCTTTTTATGCACTAACTTTCATTTAAACTCATTTAAACTCATTTAAAATATATTATTCATTTAAAGAGTCCAAAATCCAGTCACAATTATATTCTAAATCGTTGAACTCTTTGACTTTTTCGTAAACATTCCTTTTTCTGTAGCTTCTCCGTAATTTTTCTCGGCGCAGGTGCATTTTTCAAGATAATTACTCGTCGAATTTGATAATTGGCCATTAAACGTTATCATTTTCCTTTGCAAAAATGACCATTGAACAGTTTTGAGATAAAATCATCACGTTTTGTTTTGCCGTTTTGCCGTTTTGCCCAAAGTAGCCTTTTGAGCAAATCCTTTTTTTCAATAAATTGTATTTTGAAATCCTTTTGAAATTCTGATTTCTAGATCATTTCTACTAAAAACTACAAAACTAATAATAGTAGCATTTCTTGGAATATCTCGGAAAATGAAAATGATCTATTTGGACTCTAGATTTTTGCATCTTTTGCACCTTTCCTGGTACATCTACACTTTGTGTACCAATAGAGTGATTATCCCGCAAAAGTGGAAGGAGATAAATTGAGAATTTCTTGCAAGCAAAGTATATTCCTGAAACTGTAGTTTAAATTCTTCAAATTTTAAGAAAGTTGGTTTTTCGGATCCGGAACTTTTTCCTACAATAATACTTTAAATTTGCATTTCCTTGGTCATCTTTATAAGTACATATCCATCATAAAGCTGCACTAAAAGCAGCTTTCAAACTTTTCAACTTTAATGTTCAATATTTTGCTTCTATTTGATATATAATAGAAGCAAACTAATCTCACCAATAGAAGCAAACTAATCTCACCAATAGAAGCAAACTAATCTCACCAATAGAAGCAAACTAACCTCACCACTTTTCATAGTTTTTCAAGGAAATGTTTTGTCTAGCTCTTGTAAGTTAAAAGGCTGTCCAGAGAATCCAGAAAATTTTTGCATCTTTTTCGTTTACTTCCTTTCCTGGTACATCTATACCTTGTGTATCAATGGAGTGATTATCTCGCAAAAGCGAAAGGAGATAATCTGAAAATATCTCATTGCGAGCAAAGTATATTCCTGAAGCTGTAGTCCAAATTCTTTTCAGGCAAGAAATTTTGATTTTTCGGATTTGAAACATTTTTCTATGGCGATTCTTTAAATTTCCATTTCTTGGGTTATCTTTAGAGTTAGTGTATTGATCATAAAGCTGCACTAAAAGAACTTTCAATCTTTTCAAATTTGACGTTTAATATATTAAGAAGCAAACTATTAAGACAACTTTTCATGGCTTTTCAAAGAAATTGAAGTCTAGCTCTTGAAGTCTAGCTCTTGAAGCTGTTCAGAAAGTCTTTTCGTTCCTTTTTATACTTCTGTTTAAAACCAACAAATGCATCAATTGAACTACGGTTTGTTTTATTAGAAAAGCCAATTATTTCTCAGTAAAATAACATTAAAATGAGTTTAAAATGTCTTATGTCTGGGTTTTTTTGCGAGCATGAAGTCGGGTAGTCAAAAAGGGCGACGGCTTCATGATGCAAACACTTTAGCTTTAGAAAAGTCACACTTTAGCTAAGGAAACCTACCTTGGTGTCAAAAGATAAAAGATAGAGCACAAAAAGTCGGTATATAGACAAATTTTCAGAGAAATTGATTCAGCCAGCTTCTTCTTAGAGCTTTTTATAGATTTTTACGAAAAACACTATCGAATTTCTCGAAAAAACACTCTTTCACTCTCGAATTTGCTTGAAAGTGAACCGAAATTGACTTGAAAAGATAGGCAATAGAACAATAAACACTTTTGATTTAGAGAAAACCATAGGTTAATGGGGGCGGGGCCAGAAAGACCTTTTATACGCGCCCCGCCCCTTCGCCATTGGCAATCCAACTTTCAGCTCAAATATCTCGGCGTTGGGCTGTTCAATTGAAATAGTTTTTGTACCAATCGACAGAGAAAGACTTAGCGCATCTAATGATACCAAGAATATTTAAATTGGACAGCCAAACACCAAGATATTTGAGCTCAAAGTTAAATTGCCAATGGAAAAAGGGGCGGGTGCGTGTCAAATGTCCATCGATTAATTGGTTAAGCTGTTATTTTTCAACAGAAGTACGAAAGGAAACGAAAAGAAACGAAAAGACTTTCTGGACAGCCTAATAGTTAGGGATTTATGCGAGATGCTGGTAAAATGAAAATCCTACGGGTTTTTGGCTATCTATAGGTTAAATCGTCACATTCGCCCTTCAGCCTAAGTCACTTGTAAACAGCATCCCGCTGACAGTATCGCCTCTTCGCCTCAGTTTCCCAGTGTGCACACATGTGTCTCTAGGGGTCTGCCCTCTTCCCCTCTTTCTCCTCTTTCCCCCACCAACTTCCCCCTTCACCATCGCCTGTTGCCCCCTCTTCTCCCATCCATTTCCTTTTCCCTTTCTCTTTTCCGCCATTTCCTTTTCCCTTCCTCTTTTCCCTTTCTCTTTTCCCGTTTTTCTCCATTTCCCCCCGTATTCACCATCTATTGATGCCCGCAAATAGGAGCGTTCCATTACCCGCAAGAACATTCCACCAGCCACCCCCTTTCCCTTCAATACACTCATTCACATGCACACGTTTCGTAATTTTTTTTTTGGTTTGCCATTTCTTTGAATTGATCACATTTCATTAGAAGTCATGTTCTAGAAAAAAAAAACGCGCGTTTCGTAATTGCCAATTCATCATTTTTTGTGGATTTTGCGATCGTTAAAAACAGTTTTTCGAAATCATAATGAAATCATCTGTTTGATCGGCAATTTTCGGTTTTGATTTTCATAATCTTATTCATAATCTTTGTAAGATTTGTTTTGAAAACAATAGCAATACATTTTCGAACTTGCTTAAAGCTTTGCAGATTTTTGGAATCTATTTCTATGCACTAATCGATCTAATCTAACCTATATCTATTTATCTGAAAGTTTATGAAGTTCAAAGGTTCAAAAAATTAATCTCTTGCAAAATATACTCTTTATTACGTGTTACATAATTGCCATTTCACTGTGTTTTCGTTTATTTTTGATGCCCGACCACTGACGCGAGTCGAATTCTCGCGGAATTACTGTATAGTTTGTATAGTATATAGTTTAAGTCTAGTTGAAAAATTTGCAAGCTTTTCAGTTTCAAAAACTTATTTTAAATCAAGAATAGCTTTTTCTACTTCAAGTTTTGCCTGAGACAGACAAATTTTGCCTGAGACAGTCAAATCTATGACCTAATTTGTTCTCGAGACATTTTTTGTCTGATTCGTCCTGTTGTTTATAAGAAAAATCCCGAAATTCACGTCTTCTTCTCAAAATTCTCTAATCTTTTCAAATTAAAAACTTCTCATTTCATTCGGAAGCCAAAAACATTTTCTTTTCTGTAGTTTTCTTCGATTTTCCTTCTTTTTCCCTCTTTCTGTCCCTCATTTCCCTCTTTCTGTAGACTTTTTTTTTGTAGGTGGTCGAGAAATCCGGATATTGGTTGTAGGCTAGATTTCACCTGCGAACAGAAAAGGAAATTAATCTGTAAACAAACTCTTTTCGGTTTCTAGCAAGAGTTTAGAAGTTGCGAACTTTTTGTGTTGATCTAAAAGTTGTTTCAACTTTTAGAGTTTGAAGCGCGAATCCGTCGATGGCGACAGTTGAAATTTGGCTTCGGTGAGACGACACACAGGAGATCGACTTCACAGGAACCGACGAAAGCGGTGAGTTGAATTGAATTTATGAAGTAGTGAACTCAGAAATGGAAACAAACTGGCATATGAAAAGTTGCAAATACCAGAATTTGAAAGTAAGCTAGAGTACAGGCAAGAAGAAACCCTAGAACTGGTCACACGCTTCAAAAGAGACCATCTTTCAGACAGCTATTACGCTCTTACGATCTTTGCAAGCCCAGCTGTTACTAGAAATCATTCTAAGCCAAATATAAACTACTATCAACATAAGTACCATAAAATAGAAGCCTAAATAGATCTAATAGAAGCTTAAATAGATCTAATAGAAACCTAAATAGATCTAATAGAAATCTAATAGATCTAATCGAAGCCTCCTCCAGGGAAGGGTTGAAAATAGGAAACCCGGGCTTCTATTATTTGATAGCAAGAAAGTCTTTGCCCAGATTTAAACTAGAATTTCTTAAAAACGAATTCAAGAACACTTTGTTCTATTATTTACAAGTCGACTCCAAGAAATTACTCGTAAAAAATGAGTGCAGCTTTCCCTTACAATTATAGATTTTTGAAAAAGCATTATTTTCTAGCTTAAATTCAGCTCACTTTTCGAATCAAAAAAAGATCGAATCAAAATTTCAATCAAAACTATTTCTTTGTTGGAAAGAAAAGAAAAAACAAATGCTTCACCAACGACATTACAAATGGAGCGAACTTCCAAAGAGCTTAGACTCTTCTTCCCTTTCAGTCTAATTTTCTCATTATTTGTTTCCTTTGTGAGCATTTGTGGTGATGTTGAGAAAAAAGTTGGATAAGAAGATCGAATCAAAATCTGAATCGAAATTATTGCTTTGTTGGAAAGAAAAGAAAACCAATGCTTTGACATCACGAAGGAATTCTTGGAGTGAACTTTCAAAAGACTGGGATTCTTCAACAAGCGCTCAGAACAGAAGCTCTCGCTTCTGATCTGGGACCAGCATTTGGCTCACAGAAGGCTCACAGAAACAGAGCTCACAGCAGCAGAAAGGAGTATATCGAGAAGATCAATCAAAAATCATTTTTTGATGTCATCTTCTTGGCGTTGAGTGTTTGCTAAACTAGGTCATTCTGAAAAGTTAAAGCCTAAATCGCCTTAATCGATAAAATTTGCATAATCGCAAATTTTCCCGGTTCTAAGTACTTGATTCTAGCTTTTGAATGGAATCCACTACCTATCCATTAACCCGTTATAAACTTGTCTAAAGGCTGGTCACTTAAAAAGTGACCAAGTCACTTTAGCTAAAGAAATCTCTTATTTTTTACCTAAAGTCCACCATGATTTATCAAAAATTTTTTTGAAATATAGTCAAGTTTATCAAAAAAATTTGGGAAGAATTCATGGATTAGTTTTTGAGAAATCAGCGTGCAAACTTTTTCTACAAACTTTCTTGCCAACTTAATAGAATAATTACGATAAACCCCAGCTTGTGTCTGTAACATTTCCTTGAGCTCAAGGTCAATTGGTTGTTCGTGAAAGTGCATAGAACGATCATACAAAAAAAAGTTAGTTCCTGTTTGGGTGATAGACTAGAGACGGGAAATCTAGGGTTTAGCTTTGAAGAAAAGTTTCTAGGAAACATTCCCAACTTATCCTGTCCCTTTTGTTGGTTTCTTTGTTACATTCAGTAAAAACAAAGTACAGACAGACTAGTCTAGAGTACAGATAAACTAGTTTTTGATCTGAATACATAATAAATTTAACTGTTGCTGAGTTGAGCAAAAAGACGATAGTATAAAGGCAGTAGATCTCTTGCGCCTGCTTACATTTAACAATTGTACAATTTAACAATGGCTAGACCCCGTTATTTACAGGCTTTTTAGACTCTAAACCTATCTGGTACTAGTCTCATTGTTGGATTTGAAAAGCATTAAATTAAATTAGCCTTAATCATAAATTTTCCCTATTTTAAGTACTTGATTTTAGGTTTTGAATGGGATCCATTGCCTATTCATTAACCCATTAAAAACTTGTCTAAAGGCTGGTCACTCAAAAAGTGACCAAATCACTTCAGTTGAAGAAATCTCTTATTTTTTACCTGAAGCTTACTCTGATTTTCAGCACAGACTAGTACAGATAGACTAGTTTTTGACCTGAATTCATAATAGACTTAACTGTTGCTGAGTTGAACAAAAAGACAATAGTATAAAGGCAGTAGATCTCTTGCGCCTGCTTACATTTAACAATTGTATGGCTAGATCCAGTTATTTACAGGCTTTTCACAGACTCTAAACCTAGCCCTATCTGGTATTAGTCTCATTGTTGGATTTGAACAGATCTAAAATCTTATTTGATAAGTAATCATAATCTAACAGCTCGTGTTTTCTTTTCAAATAAAAAAAATCAGTTTTGTTGCTTAAATTTCTATTTTGAATTTTCCTTTTGAAGTTTCCTTTTGAAAGAAAAGGATTTCTAAAATCAAAAACAATATCCGTATCCCGAAATATCTGTTTTAAGAATGAGAAATTCATTGAGAAATTCGTAAATTTACAAAAGAAAACTAAATCTTTTTTGTCAATTTCAATCTCTCCCTGTTCGCCAAAAAGCGCTATTGAAAAGGGTTGGGAAATTCGGGGAAATCCTTTTTTTTGTTATCATTTCCTTTTCCAAGCGTTCCCTACAAATACAAAGCCACTTTTTGATCTGATTCAATTCATTTCTATAGACTAAAGATTTATTCTAAAAATGAAACTACGAACTGAGGCTGATAGTCGCTTTTATATTCCGTTGTCTTTACGACTTGACGACAATGAGTCATTGGAAGAGACGGGGGATTCCGCAGTGACTTTTGTAAGTGTTTGAAGTTAGAAAACCGGCAAAATCTCAAATTAAAAGCCTATTCATTCTATTTTTTTGTGGTTCTAGCTTCTTTTTGTACACCTTGAACCAAACGGATTCGAATAAACCATCCAAAAAGGTCGATAAAGCTCTAACATCATGTCTAACTGGAATCCAGAACGAGACAATCGACAATCTGAAGCAACTTCAATTAAAGACTTTTAAAAAATCTTTAATTCATCATTTCTTTTTTTGGATTGTATCTGCGTGCCGGAGAAACGACAAAATACATGCTGATATTGCTTGGAATGTATCGTTCAAAGCAAATAGCAAAGCAAGCAATCCGACAACAGTATGAGGATTCATTTGACATGGGAAAATGATTTAACAAGATCACGAAAAGATGGAACGAGTATTGGCAATTCAAAGTCTCTTTCAATGGAAATCTTCTTGAGCTGAATTGTGAATGCTTGGCTTGCTTGCTTGTCAATCAGCAAAGAAACCATCCTAAAATCTTTCAGAGAAATGTGGAATCGAAATCGCTTCAAATGAAGATCACTTGATTCACTTGATTCAAACAGACCGTAGTTCAATTTCTAATGAAACAAACCGTAGTTCAATTGGTGCATTTGTTGGTTTTAAACGGAAGTACTAAAACAAAGGAGAAGACTTTTTGAACAGCCTAGCACGACCCATTCATACTGACCTATTTCCCCTTGTCGACTCTCATCTCACTGTTATTATCGGCTGGCTGAATCGGGCATATAAGCGGATAATTGGGTGCCAAATCGACCGCACTCTAAAATGCATATAACCGTTTGAAATCGAGAAAAAATGGGGCATTTTGAGTGTGATCTAGAATTTTTAGCTAACAAAGGTACGCAGAAAACAGTTTTGCTTTGCGTCATAGACAAATACCTTAGAGTTAATGGAGTTAACTATTCTACAACCAAAGGAAGTTAAGGAAATGGAGATTTTTGTGGTTTGCTGACTGAAACTCCTTTAACATAATGAAACAATGACTAAGCCAAATAAGACTACCGTAAATACTGTAATAGTACCCCACCCCCATAATGACGATGCGGAGTGTTGCGTAGTCTAGCTTTGGACGCGTTTTTCTCGACACTGGTTTATGCTACAATGCGCGCTTAGGTATCAAAAAATAGCCCTGAATTTCAGCTATTTTTTGATACCAAAGACGCATTTTTTGAAAGTACGGGCGCTTTGCAAAAAATGAAATACTAAAAAAATTTTGCGATTACGCGACTGTACTGTACGGGTGGGGTACTATTACAGTATTTACAGTAAGTCAAATACTAAGCTATTCAAACAAAAAAATCCGGTATTTTCAGTGTGACCGAGACGCTCCAAATCGTGAGCACTTGCAAAGGAAACCTCTTCCGATTTGCTCGACGAGTCCACTGCCACGCAAACAAATGAACCATAACGGCAGTGAGTTAGCGAAAAGTTATAGATTTAATGAATAGATTACCTAATTGAATAGATTACCTAATTGAATAGATTACCTAATTGAATATTTACCTAATTATAGTCAAGCTTGAATTGGTATGAAGATTTGATGAAAGTATCTGTCTAAAGTGTTGAGTCAAGCCTAATTTCTGGTTGGGTTCCACGCCTAACATCGATCTTGATGATGATGATTTCTCCATTTGCATTTGCTATTGCTTTAAACTTCAAAAACTATTCCAAACATGTATTTTATTTGAATATTTTTAGTTTCTCCGCTCAACTTTGGCGCCGGAAGGGTGAACACGGAGAACGATGAAGTGAATCGCCGCTTCGAGGCTGTTCGAGCTCAATCCGGCCTATTGAGGCTAGGTGGAAAGGTAAGTTCATGCTTAAGTAATGCTTAGGTAATGCTTTGTAATTCCGAGTACCGTAAATACTCTAATAGAAGTTCCTATAGGAGCGTCGCGTAGTCTAAGTTTACCCTCAAACAAACGCTCATATCTCGACATCAGTGCTTTAGTTTCTATGCGCTTAGGTATCAAATTAAAGTAGAGAGGATGGGTGATTTTTTGAGATATAACACATCATTTTAGCCTAACCCAGCGCTTAGAACAAAATGATTGAAAAAATGATGAAAAATCGGCTTTTCTTTTGCCACTTTTCACATCCAAAAACAGTCCTTAGTGTAAAGGAAAGGTTGTTTATAAATTAAAAACTTTTTTTTCCAAAGGTTGTAACACCATTTTCAGATCGAGAAATGCAGCTATGGAGATCTTCAATTCATGGAGGATATCGGGCATGGCAGCTGTGGCCACGTTCAGAAGATGCAGTATAAAGGCCATGTAATGGCTGTCAAGGTTTGTTCATAGCTGTAGATTTATTTTCACGCAAGACAAAGGGATCAGGGCCCGATACCAGCTATGCAAAGGGATCAGGGCCCGATACCAACTGTGCAAAGGGATCAGGGCCCGATACCAACCGATACCCGATACCAAATACCAAATACCAGCTTTTATCAGATACCAGCTGTTAAATTTAAGAAAAAGAGCTAAATTTAGCAAAATTGCTTCTCCATTTAACGCTTAGCATTTAGCAAAATTGCTAGATCTGAAATTGATATATGCTAGATTCTAAATAGTTTGGTGAAACCGGACCCAGGTCTGGCCTGGCCTGGGCCTGGCCTGTAAGACTGACCCAGGCTTGCAATCAAGTCTCTGGCCCTCCAGAAGCTTGGTCTAGAGTTGGTTTGCCGGGGTTTAACCTAGTTGGCTTACAAGCTTTAGAACTTAGTTTTAGAAGCCCGTAGCCAGGTCTTTAGCCAGGACGGAGGGCAAAACGTCTTATTTTTAAAAATTTTTGTCCGTTCGCCCGAAAATTTCTTCTGACTACGGACCTGATCATTACAGTTATCTATGCATTTACCCATCAATTATATTTTAGCAAATGGCACGTACGGGTAACGCGGATGTGTCAAGGCGGATTCTCATGGATCTCGATGTGGTGCTTCGGTGTCAAAGCAGGCACATTGTGATTTGCTACGGCTTCTTTATCACTGATGTAAGTCTGTGAATAGTTTTTTATAAAGCTTAATTGAATCTTTTGAATTGAATTGCTAGCGAGCAGAGCTAAAAAAGCTAAAAGGCTAAAAGGCTAAAAACCAGTAAGATCTTTAAGCAAAAGACTCTGAGAGTTGCTCTTTTGAAGATTTCAAACTTTGTAGTAAAATTTTGAGTTGAATTCTGCACCCAGCCTAATAGCTACCGTAAATATTGTAATAGTACCCCACCCGTACAGTACAGTCGCGTAGTCGCAAAAGTTTTTTAGTATTTCATTTTTTTCAAAGCGCCCATACTTTCAAAAAATGCGTCTTTGGTATCAAAAGAGAGCTGAAATTCAGGGCTATTTTTTGATACCTAAGCGCGCATTGTAGCATAAACCAGTGTCGAGAAAAACTCGTTCAAAGCTAGACTACGAAACACTCATTATTAGATCAAAATAGGAAGCGTATTGGAACCGTTTTGGAACCGTATTAGATCAAAATAGGAAGCGTATTGGAAGTATTAGATCAAAATAGGAACCGTTTTGGAACCGTATTGGAGCCCTATTGGAACCGTCATTATGGGGGTGGGGTACTATTACAGTATTTACGGTAGATAATAAATATCTTATAATTCTTATAATTATCTTTTTAGTCTACGGTGTACGTGTGCATGGAGTTGATGGCGACTTGTTTGGACCGATTCCTTGCCCGGATTAATCCCAAGCGCGTTCCTGAGCCATATATTGGCCAAATGACTGTGTCCATAATATCAGCACTCAATTATCTCAAAGAGGGAATGGTTAGTGTTTGGGGATTCGTTAAATTGAAATTGGGAGAATTGAATTGTTTGGGAAAATTGAATTGTTTGGGAAAATTGAATATTTAAGATCACTCCTTTCTTTTCAGAGCATAATCCACCGTGATGTGAAACCGTCAAACATTTTGCTCGATTGGGATGGAAATGTGAAACTCTGTGACTTTGGAATTGCTGGACAGGTGAAATTTGATATAAACATAAAGAAAAATCAATATCAATCAATAATTAGCTTTATAAAATCTCTAAAACAATACACAATTCCAAGTTTCAGTTGATAGAGTCGAAGGTGTTCACGCGTAATGCCGGCTGCCCACCGTACATGGCTCCAGAGCGCTTTCAACCGGATGTGGTGAGTTGAATGATGCTTTAATTTCTGCAATTCATTTTGTATTCAACACCTTTACTTAATGGCCACTCAATTTGCACTTTTTCCTATTGTAAATACTCTAAAAGAGGGACAATGCACATGCTATGGCAAGCATTTTTACAGTCGCATAGTCGGCCGTTTCTTATTCTTGTTGCGAGCTCAAATTGCCATAACAGTTTTATATAAAAGCCCTATACATCTTCTACAGATTTGTCTGAGATCGGTAATGAAAAGTGGGGTTATTTTGTTTGTAATTAAATTGTTACCGTCATGGACAAAAATCTTTTAACGTTGGTTTTTAGAAGTTTGTTCTTTGTATATCTTGGTCCAAATCTAACCAATTTGCAAACGGTTAAAAGACTTAAAGAGCTTATTATCTCTAATTTTAACATTATAAAAAGATGGATTTAACAATTTATCAGGTGTCATGAACTTTTTAATAAAACAAAAATTGAGCCAAAAATCGATGGACAAAAGTCTTTATGACGAATACTAGTAGGCCTCCGGAGCCGCAATTACTGCTTGAATTCTCCTTGTTCAATCTGTTAAAATCATGTAATGTTAAAATTAGAGATAATCGGCTCTTTAAGTCTTTCAACCGTTTGCAAATTGGTCGGATTTGGATCAAGATATACAAAGAACAAACTTCTAAAGACCAACGTTAAAAGACTTTTGTCCATGACTGTATTTTGTTATTAAAACCTAGATTTTGTTAAAAACCGACAAAAAAACGGCATTTAGCGAAAACGACTGGACAGAGTTATTTGAAAATTTGAGTGTAGACGTAATTAAACATTCTCTATGTTATTTATTTGAACATCAAAGCAGGTTTGTTGGATGGAAATCTTTAAATGATCAACTCTCCATCAACCCATTTTTGACTGCTTAAGTCGATCATTTGAAAAAAAAGCTTTCCCGTCTGACTCAAAGTTGTTTTTTAGAGAAAAGATAGGGCTTTCTTATCTTTGAAGTCGCTAGGGTTTGCTACTAAATTAAGTTGAAAAGCTTCTCTTAAAAGAATACTGACATTTCATGTGCATTGACCCTATAGAACCCTTCCTATAGGAGCATCGCGTAGTTCAAGTTTATTCTCAAGCAAACGCTCAGATCTCGACATCAGTGCTTTAGTTTCTACGCACTTAGGTATCAAATTAAAGTAGAGAAAATGGGTGTTTTTTTGTGATATAACACAAATTTTTAACCTTAACCAGCGCTTAGAACAAAATGATTGAAAAGTGGCAAAAGAAAAGCCGATTTTTCATCATTTTTCAACCATTTTGTTCTAAGCTCTGGTTAATGCTAAAATGATGTGTTATATCTCAAAAAATCATCCATCTTCTCTACTTTAATTTGATACCTAAGCGCATAGAAACTAACGCACTGGTGTCGAGATATGAGGATTTATTGACGGTATATCAAAAGAACTGATTATGTTTGTCAGTTAGGAAGTGTTTAATTCATGAATTCAAGGCAACTCGTTGAAACTCTAGGGCAGGTTTTTATTCTGGAAAATGATCTTACAGATTGAATCGAAGCATTGGATCGATTCCTAGTATGCTTATAAAAATTTTATGTCTTTAGAATGGTATGGCTCCGTACGATGTTCGATCAGACGTATGGTCGGTGGGAATCACGCTGGTCGAGCTGGCGAGAGGAACGTGAGTTATTTTGATCTTTTATTCTAGTTAGAGTGTTTTCCTCGTGAGTAATGCGTTTTTTTAAAACGCACACTTAAGGAGAATTACTGTACTTTTAGCGAAAATTATTGCAAAAAAAAATTTAACCCAAAAAAATCAGGCGCGCCGCCTTATATACGACTCCCTTTAAAGATATTCAGCCGTTTAAGTAGTTTGGTGGCAAATTCCCTTCACATGTAAAGATATTCAATTTACTCGACGTGTAAAGAGGATTACTCGTAGTTGTTCGTCCAAAAACGTCGATTAATCGAGTTAAAATTGCACTCATGCAAATTTTACGCGAGTAATTTTCGAAATTTCGAAACAAACACTCGAATCCGGACTGAATTCTGATTTATTCTGAAAAACTGTTTTGGAAACTCGTTTGATGACGTTTATTGGAAGTGTTTAGATGCCTTCTTCTAAGCGAGCGCCGCCTTACATACGATTTCTTTTAAAGATATTCAGCCGCTTAACTAATTTGACGACTATTGGAACTGTTTAGATGCCTTATATCTAAGCGAGTGCCGCCTTATATACGCTTTCTATTAGATGCTAAGTGTCAAAAGTTCCACTTACCGTAAATACTGTAATAGTACCCGACCCCCATAATGATGGTGCGGAGTGTTGCGTAGTCTAGCTTTGAACGAGTTTTTCTCGACACTGGTTTATGCTGCAATGTGCGGTTAGGTATCAAAAAATGGCTGAAATTCAGGGCTATTTTTTGATACCAAAGATGCATTTTTTGAAAGTACGGGCGCTTTGAAAAATGAAATACTGCGACTACGCGACTGTACGAGCGGGGTGGGGTCCAATTACAGTATTTACGGTAGGTTAAAGCCATTCTCTAGTAAATCAAATTTGAGAAAAATCTACACAGTTAATGGCAACTGTTTTGTGAAGACTAGTGTAGTTAAAAACAGGGAATTGATCAGTTTGAGTTTATCTTTTCAATGATCATTCAATAGTTTGAAGGAAAACTCACACATTAGCCACTTGACTATCGGCCACTTACTCGAGTAATTACTTACGAGTAAACTACTCACGAGGAACACACTCTACTCTTAATCAGTATCCAAAAGAGGCATTAACAGCCAGAATATGCATGAGATCATTGGAGAATAAAAAGAAACAGTAAAAAAAGTTACCCGTTGTTTTTAGTTACCCGTATCCCGGTGGGTCCGAGTTCGAAATTCTGACCGCTCTTCTCCAAATGCCCGCACCGAGTCTCTCCGTTGAGGAGGGTTTCACTCCTGAATTCTGCAACTTTGTCGAACTTTGCCTGAACAAAGATGTTGAAAAGAGACCCAAATACGATGTGTTAATGGTGAGGATAGAGAGATTGTACATACAAAATGGGTCCTATTTGGTTCCCATTTGATTCCTATTTGGTTCCTATTTGGTTTTGGTCTTTTGTTTTGGTTCCTTTTGGTCCCATTTGGTCCCATTTGGTCCCATTTGGTCCCATTTGGTCCCAGTTGGTCCCATTTGGTCCCATTTGGTTCCTTTTAGTCCCATTTGGTCCCATTTGGTCCCATTTGGTTCCTATTTACAAAATTTGTGCCTACAAAATGAAGTGCCGCTAGAAGTGCCTACAAAATGTAGAACTGCTTACAAAATGTAGAAGTAAATGTTGAATACTCTTTAAAAGCTCTGATCTGAACATGTAACTATTTTCTCACTTTTAGCAACACCCCTTCTACCTACGGAGCCTCCACGATAGTGTCAATTTGGGCGATTGGTTCCAGGATCACATGTCCCAAGAAGAATAGAAAAAAAAGTGTGATTTTATGCAAAATATAGAGAATGTTTTCCCATTTCATATCATTTAATTTGGTGTATCGGGAAATAGTCAACGAGTTGGAAATCGGAGCATTTTTCGTAGAGATCTGCTTCAATCTTTTGTCTCATTCTGTTGAACAGGTTAACCATTTAGATTGAATATCTTTTAACGCTAAAATTGAAGATATCCGGTGTTGTTAGCTGAATCTTGTTTCCTGTGCGGTAAACTGTCAAGCACTGGAATTTAAAGTAGCTTGTCTCATACAGACTACAATATCCTTTACAGTATCCTGTATATCCTTTACAGTATCCATCGAATGATGCTCTATTAAACTTGTAACGAAAACACCTGTCGGTCCTTTTTGCCATTGACAATTTAAGGTTTTTCGTGTTTTTCTCATCAAAAACCCTTTGATTTGGGAGATTTTGAGTATCATTCGATGGAGAATAAAATTGCGCGTCGAATGATACAAAAATCAACTCAAAATGTAATATCTATGCAAAGTTATGAGGCAAAAGGTTAAGTCCCGCCCATAATGGACGGGGTTTAGGCTTTTAGCCAACAACTTTGCGTGTATAATATATTTTGAGTTATTTTTGGTACCATTCGACGCGCAATTTTATTCTGCATCGAAGATAGTCCTAGAGAAATTTCTCCATAATTTCTACATGCAAGGCCATACCAAATTCTGAGCCTGGTACAGGGTGGACAAAATCACCCGGACAAGAGTTCTTCGTTGCAACTTTGCAGCCAGCCAACTTAACCCCAGAATTTTCTCCAAAGAATAAATTTATTCATTTCTTAACCTATTGAAACATTTCTGAAAAGAAAAATCCTTTAGCCGGCTTTTCTTTTGAACGACAAAGCAAAGTAAAATTGATCCTAGCTTGGAGCTTCATTTTCCCCTTTTTTCAGCGCTTTTTTGGCTTCTGAAAAACTCGAGGAAAAACATGATTAAGACTAGAAAAGTGTGTCTACTCTTTTCGTGGATAACTAAGAGTTTAAACGAAAAGAATTCTAGGAGTTTTATAGAACGATTGACGAATAAAATTCATCTTATTCGTCAAACAAGTTTCTGTCCGGGTAATTTTGAGCAAGCCTCTAATTTTACATTCGACAAAGTACACCCAATCAACCCTCCATCAATCGTCGACCATTTCCCCATTTATTCAAAATTTCCCCAAAAATTCAAAACAATGTCTGATTTCGTGCCCTAATTGTCGATACAATAGTATTTTTTTTATAGAACTTTGGCATTTTTCAATGTATTTCCATGTTTATTTGCTTTTTTTTACGTGTTTCACCTGTTTTCTTCGTCATTTTTGTTCGTTTTGATCGCCTATTACGATGTCTTTATCATTGGAAAAACATTTTTGTTTACTCGTTGCTTTTTTTTTGCTCTTTATCATTGCAAATCATTTCCCAGTTTCCCCAAGTCGTTTTTCCGAAAGTTTTCTTAGAAAACTTCGTAAAATTATGCTAAAATCAGAAATGCTTATCAGAAATCACTGCTTTTGTGGCAATTTTTTGAAAGCAGCGTTTTCTTTTTCTGGTTCAAAGCTTTTTTTTTTAATTTTGCAACTAATCATTCCTTTTGATTGTTCGATTTTTGATTGATTTTAAATGTTTAAATAAAAATCTTATACGCTCATAATACAAACATCTAAGCACAAAACAATACAGTTCCAGAAAGTTTTTACCGCTTTTGACTACATTTTGACTTTGACTTTGACTTTGACTTTGACTTTTGACTACGTTTTTGACTACAGTTCACTAGGCAAATTTGCTTTTTGGGCATTTTGATATACACAATAACTAGTTAAAACTTCAGCTTATCAATAAATGTCTACATTTTATCAATCCAACCCTGTGATATATTTTGTGATTTGAAAAGCGCTTCATTAACCTGAAATCCCATTATTATATGCGAAAGAGTATGTCTGTTTGTCTGTCTATCTGTCCGTCTATCTGTCTGTTTATCTGTCAGTCTGTTTGTCTGTCTGTCTATCTATCTGTCTATCCGCCTGTCTTTCTATCCGTCTGTCTGTCTGTCTGTCAGTATGTCTATCTGTCTGTCTGTTCAGCTGTTTTCGAAAAAAACGGCTGCACCAATCGATCTAAAAGTTTGACATTGTAAACCGAACTTTTTGCGTAGTTTCCAAAAATCTAATAATATTTAGCACTTAATTTGACCGTTTTTCCTAAAGTGAAATTAAAGAATGCATGCTACCGCATGGCCAAGTGGTAGTGCGTCCCAGCGTCCGTGCTGCCAAGTTGAGCAACGCCGGGCTCGTCGGGCACTAACAGTCTCGGGTTCGATTCCAGCCCGATGCCATCTTTTTGCTTTCTTTGTTTTTACACCTTTTTGAGTAAGAAAGGTCACGGGTTCAATTCCTCTAAGGGTGAAAAAAGTGAAATCCGTCTGCACGGAGCCAGAAAAGGCGGAGCCGTTAGGCGGGTTTTTCTGGCTGGTGCTAATAATAAGATACGCAATAAACTCAAGAATTTACCGCTTTTCCAGCTTTCAATGCCTAAATACAATTGACTTTCGATTCAACAATTCCAAAAAGTGTCCGAAATTTTTTGCTTAGCTGCTATGAACCTGCAAATGCCAAGAGTAGAAATATAGCAAACCGTGAAAGTGAAATATTTGAAAATGAAATTGAGGCCCAGCAAAGCTTTTTCGATATTACTTTCAAAATGAATGAATTCTCCATAAGTATTTTTGCAAAGCTGACTAAAAACGATAACAACGAGAAATTCCATTTCTAAATTGATCTGTGCCCCCGCTTTGACAGCTTTTTAAGCTTTTTTAGCTTTTTTAATGAATTGTGCTTCGATAAAAGTCCTAATAAGATCCATAATTTATTTACAATATTGCAACAAGAAGAAACGGTGACTAAAAATAACAAATAACTTTGATAATCTACAGTCAACATAGCGAACAAAGGCTCTCAACTTTCTATTGGGAAACGGCGCCATCGAATACACTCTGAGCAGAGGCTGGAGTCAAATGGATACGGCAGATCTCGGTTCCGACGGGGAGACGGTAGCTAAATGGAAAATGTTTGATTAATAAGTCAAAGATTACTGTCTAATGAATCTATCTGATTTTTAGCTCAATGGAATGCTACCCATTGAGGGCAGCATTCCATTGAGCCACTTAGAGACTTTAAGATGACCAAGACTAGGAATCTTTTTCGTTTCTCATGAATCTCATTCACTCACCGATTCTCCACTTTGCGCACACGGCACAAATCGATGCGTTGAACGGTGGCGTGGAAGCAGCGCAAATAGCGAGGAATTTGGTTCTCCTTGAGCGACTCCTCGTTGACGAAGTACTTGCGGGAGCCGAAGCTGAAATTTATATCGTCACTGGTTAATTTAAAATTAAAATATCAATCAGTAAGTAATAAAGTGAAGGAATTGGCAAGAAAAAGTCGAGAGGAGCCATTTAACTCGGAGAGGAGAGATTTAACTCGGAGAAGAGGCATTTAATTCGGAGAGGAGGCATTTAACTCGGAGAGGAGAGATTTAACTCGGAGAGGAGGCATTTAACTCGGAGAGGAGACATTTAACTCGGAGAGGAGAGATTTAACTCGGAGAGGAGAGATTTAACTCGGAGAAGAGGCATTTAACTCGGAGAGGAGACATTTAACTCGGAGAGGAGAGATTTAACTCGGAGAGGAGAGATTTAACTCGGAGAAGAGGCATTTAACTCGGAGAGGAGACATTTAACTCGGAGAGGAGAGATTTAACTCGGAGAAGAGGCATTTAATTCGGAGAGGAGGCATTTAACTCGGAGAGGAGAGATTTAACTCGGAGAGGAGGCATTTAACTCGGAGAGGAGACATTTAACTCGGAGAGGAGACATTTAACTCAGAGAGGAGACGTTTAACTCGGAGAGGAGGCATTTAACTCGGAGAGGAGACATTTAACTCGGAGAGGAGAGATTTAACTCGGAGAAGAGGCATTTAATTCGGAGAGGAGACATTTAACTCGGAGAGGAGACATTTAACTCGGAGAAGAGGCATTTAACTCGGAGAGGAGACATTTAACTCGGAGAGGAGAGATTTAACTCGGAGAAGAGGCATTTAACTCGGAGAGGAGACATTTAACTCGGAGAGGAGAGATTTAACTCGGAGAGGAGGCATTTAACTCGGAGAGGAGACATTTAACTCGGAGAGGAGACATTTAACTAACATATAAGGTAAATTCAGATAACAAAATTTACCTTGGAACCGAATAGGCATCATGGGCAGCATCCCATTGAGCTATGATCAAATCCCCGCGTTTAAGCTTTCGCATATCGACAGGCTAAAAAGAGTTTGTTAAAGCTGAGCATCGATTTTCTGAAGTAACTATAGTAACTATAGTATAAGCAAAATGCTAATCTCATTTTTTCTTTTGCACTCACCATAGTAAGGACTGTCTGGGGGATTTCGATGGCGGTTTGGACACTCACGTTGTCGGCCTCATCCCTGAATAGTGAGAATTGGATTTGGCATGAATAAATGGTTGAAAAATGCATAAATTTTATAGTATATTAACACTATAAAGTTCCTAAAATCGTTTCTACGATCCTACGAAAGTTAACGATCAAATTGCTAGATACAAGCATCGCAAAGCTAGATACAAAGCTTTACCAATTCACCAATGAAAGCAGCAATGCTTTTAAGGTTCACAGTTTGTCGATTATGTCAGCTCCGAGACAAACTGATATTTTAGTTACTATTGTTATTATTGAATGATTTGTCTATTCTTATGTAAATGTATTCTCCCCTGTGCTTATCCCTTTCATCGCCGAGAAGGGGATTGCCTAGGAGTGATTGCCTAGAGCCCTTGGGATTGCCTAGAGTCCTTGGGATTGCCTAGAGTCCTTGGGATTGCCTAGAGTCCTTGGGATTGCCTAGAGTCCTTGGGATTGCCTAGGAGGACAAGTGAGGCTCTCACTTGGGGTCTCCCTTTCACTCATTTGTAATCTATTCGTCTTATTTTACTACTGTAAATAAGGATACATAAATAAAGATGCAAAGATAATTCCGGTGCAAAGAAAAAATGAACCGATTGAGCTACGGTTTATTTCATTAGAAAAGCCAATTATTTTTCTGCAAAATAACAAGAAGTAACATTGAAAATTTCTCATTGCAAGCAAAGTTCCTGAAACTGTAGTTAAAATTCTTCAAATTCTAAGAACGTTGGTTTTTCGGATTCGGAACTTTTTCCTACAACAATACTTTAAATTTGCATTTCCTTGGTCATCTTTATAAGTAAATATCCATCATAAAGCTGCACTAAAAGCACCTTTCAAACTTTTCAACTTTAATATTCAATATTTTGCTTCTATCGGATAGTTTGCTTCTATTGGATAGTTTGCTTCTATTTGATATATAATATGTTCGATAGAAGAAAACTATCATCACAACTTTTCATAGTTTTTCAAGGAAATCTTTTGTCTAGCTCTTGCAAGTGTCTAGCTCTTGCAAGTGTCCAGCTCTTGTAAGTGTCTAGCTCTTGTAAGTGTCCAGAAAATCTCTCTGGATAATAGATATCTGGTCTGATCACCAATAAAGTTCTGACAATGAGAAAACGGATTGAGACAAGAGCTTAAAACCATATTAAACTCATATTCCATAATAACTAAACCTTACTCAGTGCAAGTAGCGGCAGAGGGATCAATTGAGGCGGTGGCAACGTTGACATTGTTGTCCTCCTCTTCCCTAAATCATTTTTTTTAGAAGTTAAGCGTTTTTGATGTCAGACTTTATCAAATCTCTTGACAGTTCTTTATAATATCTCTTGACAAATTGACAAATATCATATCTTTTGACAGCCCTTTTGTCATTCAAATTCATGACAATTCTTGGTCAAATTCAACTCACTCCAATGGCCATTCGATGTTGGGAGTGAGTGGAGGAGCGCTGTGAACACTGACGTTGTCGTTGTTGATGTTGTCATCTTGCCTGAAAGTGTTAGAAGTTGAAAAACACCTTCAGATAACAAGTTTATTTAAAACTTAAAGACTTTTAGCTAATTATATGATGGCTTACTCTTGCATTTGCTGTTGTTTTGCTTCCTCCTCTTGACGCTTCTTGATGATTGGCCACTCGGTCGCCTCCCAGACTTTCAGATCTGAAATTTTCATTTGAAGCCTGAGCCTGAGCATGAGCCTGAGCCTGAGCCTGAGCTATGACTTTAGCTTCTTAGCCATCTAAGCCATTATTTTCTTGACACTAACCGATTCCTGGAAACTTCGTTTCCTTTGGCTTCTCATCTTTCTCAGCTTGACTCTTGGTGAATTTCTCCTGAAGTAGAGTCATATCCCCTTCTTGTCGCTTTTGGACGAGTTGAGCCATAGCCTCTTGTTGACGTTTTTGAATGATTGACCACTCGGTTGCCTCCCATATTTTCAGATCTGAAATTTTCATTTGAAGTTGAGACTTTAGCTTCTTATGACTTTAGCTTCTTAGCCATCTAAACCATTATTTTCTTGCCACTAACCGATTCCTGAAAACTTCATCTCCTGTGGCTTCTCATCTTTCTCAGCTTGACTCTTTGCTAAAGCCTCTTGTTTTTCCATAGTCACAGCTTTCTCAGCTTGACTCTTTGCAAGTTTCTCCAGAATTCGAGTCATAGCCTCTTGTTGTTGACGCTTTTGGATGATTGGCCACTCGGTTTCTTCCCATGTTTTTAGGTCTAAAACTTTCATTTTTAGATCTAAAACTGAAATTGAGTCATAAATTCTTAGTCATCTACAACATTATTCTCCTGCAACTAACCGATTCCTGGAAATTTCGTTTCCTTTGGCTTCTCATCTTTCTCAGCTTGACTCTTGGTGAGTTTCTCCTGAAGTAGAGTCATATCCTCTTCTTGTCGCTTTTGGACGAGTTGAGCCATAGCCTCTTGTTGGCGTTTTTGAATGTTTGGCCACTCGGTTGCCTCCCATGTTTTCAGATCTGAAAGTTACATTTATGAGTCTTTTCTCTAGAGCCCACTAGCCAAATTCTGGCGAAGGTTTGACTTGAAACATTTCTAAATTTACACTAACCAATTCCAGGGAAACCAAGCTTCTTTGGCTCCTCAGCGACCACTTCTTTCTCAGGAATCGATTCAACAGCAACAATTGTGGTAGAAGTTCCAAGAGTCGACTAAATATTAGTCCTTGTTTGTGTAGCTAGGTAGATTTACTAACCTCTGGCTGAGCAATCTTCAACCCCGAAGAGCTGGCAACCTCATTGAAGTGAGAAAGATGCTGCAGCAGGTCGGCATTCATCTTCTCCAAAAGTTGACTCATAGGAAATCGCATCTTTGGCTCTTCAGCGACCACTTCTTTCTCAGGAACCGATTGCAACACTTGTGGTGGAAGTCCCAAAAGTAGACTAAATTTTAATCCTTGTTTATGTAGCTAGATAGATTTACTAACCTCTGGCTGAGCAATCTTCAGCCCCGAAGAGCTGGTGACGTCATTAAATGAACGAAGCTGCAGCAGTTCGGCTTTCTTCCTCTCAACAACCTCAGCAAAGTCATCATCGAAGTCCTGAAATCTTATAATTATTTAAAACAAGAGCTATTTAAATCAAGACAGCTAATTTTCAGTCTTAAATCATCAATTCTAATAATTCGTGTAAGCTACTCACCTCGCGAATCTCATCATCGGGAAGAGAGCGGGCTTTGTCGGCGGCAATCCATGGCTTCACCTTTTCCAAGTAGCTCAACGGTCCCGAGTAAGCTGGAAATGGTTTTCTTTGATAACAGCTACATACTTTATTAGCAAAATGCCTCTCAATGTTTAGACCAACATTGAGTTTCTGCACAGTAAGTGCTTTCATCATCATCGTCCTCCTCCTCGTCCGTATTTGATTCGTCATTGTCCTCCTCCTCGTCATGAGCAGATGCCGCGACCTCGCTTGGAACAACCTAAAGTTGAATTGTTTTGGTTGTAGAATCAATAAACTATCTCAGATTTGTTCTTATCGATTTACAAACTCAAAGATCTTGATTTGTTTCTTATGAATCAGTCGAACTCACCACAGGTTCGGCCTTGCTTCTCTCGGCCTTGCTTGTCTCAGCCTTGCTCGGTTCGGCCTTGCTTGTCTCGGCTTCGGGCATCACACAATCAATCGTTCCATCAAAGAACTTCGTCTTCATCTTGTTGATGAAATCACGAATCTTTTCTAAAACTTAGAAACTTGTAGATAGATTTTCTTGTACTTGTAGATTTTCTGTGCTTTATCCCAATCTGACAAACTTAATGCAAGTCTAGCAATTGATTTTGAGTCGAATACTTGATTGAAAAAGTCGTCTCTATCAGTTACAGCAGCATTCTATCCCTTTATCACTAACCCTCAATGTCGTGACGACGAGCAACGAATTCGGTGATGTAGCGCTGCTTGTCCGTGACGTGGATCGATGCGGCGTGATCGTGCCTGAAAATTTTGATCGTAAAGCAAACAGCTACTGCCACAACTAATAGTCTAAACTTATCAGTTATCAGCTTAATATTTCTTGTTCAAAAGTCACTTATTCAATCCCGGTCAAGGGTTCAATCCCGCCGGCTTGATTATTGGTTCTTTTTTCCCCAATATATATTTGGGGTTTTCTTCCGCACATTAGCGATTGATTGCTAGGGCTTATAGATTGTTTGTAACATATTATTTGCGTAAATAAATGTAAATTTATTGGTATAAAGTCACTCACATGCACTTTCCACAAACGGCCTCATAATCGAAGCAGTTGCGATTCCACCGATTCTCACAGGAGAGCACCTTCTCGTTGTAGCCGACTGAAATCGAAAAAGGGTAAATTGGTGAATGAATTGCGAAGTCTTTTGTTAAATATCTGTTAAATTTCAGTTAAATAATCAGCTTTAAAACTTACACAGCTTTCCACAACGAGTGCAGTTTAAGAAGGAAAAAGCTCGCTCGAAAAGAGACATTGTCAAAATAAATTCGAAGATTAGCGAATCTAAACTGAAAAATAGGTAAAGGGGCTTTTAAAGTTTTAAAAGGTAAAGTTAAAAGGTAAGTTTAAATGTTTTAAAAGTAAAAAGTGAAGAGAAATCGATTCTCCTTTGAGCGATCTTCCCTTTTATATGCTAACGATTGATACGGTTCGGCCATTATTCGACATCTGCTGGCCAAGGGGGGAAGAGAAGAGACAATTCGTGCCAACGGCTCGACTAGGTCAAACAAATGAACGAGATAGTGCGAAAGAGAACAATAATTGAGTGGAAAAGAGGAAATTGGACAATTTTCGGTTACTGATTGGATCAGGTGAAACGACCTGTCATGCTATTTTCTTACTAAAGTATTAGGTTGTCCAGCTTGTCCAGTTTGTCCGTTTTTGAGGGCTTATTCCAAATATTTCTGCAAGTTCACGTGTAGTTTGTCGAGGATCAATTTCGATCGCCTGTTTAGATACGGTATTATCGATCGTAGGAGGCCGTTGGTGGTGGTCCTCATCTTCTAAAGATTCATTTCCTTCTCGAAATCGTTGAAACCATCGCCGACGCTGGCTTTCCGAAATAGCATCTTCACCAAATACTTTGCAGAGATCTTCCAAAATAATTTCTAAAGGCCTCGATGAGATTCAGCGATATTTTTGCCCAATTTGAAGTTATAAGGACTGGCACCGAGACGAAACTTCGTGTCGTTCACAGAAATTAAATCAAAAACTGGCTTGACGTCAAAAACACGAAAAGTTGTAATAAAATAAGAAATCCTGAACAGCATATAGAAGATTGGGTTTGATAAAATTGAAAAGCCCTAAGGAATGCTGTTCAAGTTGTTCAAGAGCAGGCGTGCATTCATAACTGAACAACCTAATACTAATTCAATTGGACGCCTTGTCAAATGTGGTAAGTTTATTCAACCACCAATTCTATCAGCAGTTCAGCAATCTGCCTGTTCGTTTACGATAAGATTGATACTATTTGATGGGCCAAATAGGGAGATTCAGAACCGGAATATCAATGTTAAAAGTGATAAATAGAAAGTCGAAATATGCCTGCAGTAAATAAACATTTAGCAGCAAATCAACATTTTCAATGTATAAATTGCTTATTCTGCCTAGGATACTCTTAAAAGTTTATTAATTATTAAGGTAAAGCAATTTGTGTAGCGGTGAAGTTTGCGCATTCAATTTTCGATCTTGTACACATGTCGACGAGCCATCAAACATCCGACAAACAATGTCACAAAAATACACAATGAAAAGACAAGGGTAACGGTGATCAGCGTAGTGACTGGGATGCAAATCTCCCGTTGAGCAATTCTCAAAAAATCGCGAACCGAGGGCACCGACATAGATTCGAAATGCTGAAAATCGCCTGTTTAGTTTACTGATTTGACGTAGCAATTGCAAAGTAGTACCATTGAATTACCATTGTTAGAAGTGTTGTTCTAAAGATTGAATAACTGACCATCATTGTCGAATTCTTGAGTTCAATCTCATCCGAAGCGATTGTTCGTTCGACAAGAGCGTCCAACATCGAGATTCGGTTCCGTACACCGATCGAAGCCTCTCTTTTCGAGATTCTGCTAAAAAGTTATTGTTGATAGCTGAAACTTAGTATCTTAAAGTTAGCGTGATTCGTGAAATTCTTTATCACTTACCCTTTCACAGTCCAAGTATTCTTGGGAGCAGAGCGAACGTTAGCGGAAATACTTCGTTTGGCACGGCCACAGTTCTGCAAAGTATTAATACATTTTGATCGGTACTTGTGACTCTTACAGAGACCAGCATTTAACACCCTTAGCATTTAACAGATCAATTTGCATTTAAGAATGGCGGCCAACAGAATCACAAGCGGCTTAAGGCGTGCTTGTGACTCTTACGGCGGTTATTTACAAAAGGAAAATTAGCTATTATTATTGGGTTGGTGAATTGAAAACTGCGGGATTTTGAACTAAAATCTATTCCACATAAAACCATCAATTCATTTCAAATAATTTCCATTATTATTGACGACTTCTGCCCATTTTACAGGCAATTTGCGGATTCCTCTTTCGTAGTAGGATTTTGGTTTGTGTGTGAGATAAGTCTGAGACTCAAAAATCGAGGACTGGGCTTTGAGAGTGGAAGACTGGACTCCCAGTTTGAGCACCTTCTTCAAAAGAAACTCATTTTGGTGTCAATAGAAACGTTGTAGAGAATCAAAAATTAGGCTTATAGCCAGATTTCTAAAAAGATACACTTAGTAGTTTCGCCTAAAATGCAAGCTTTGTTGCAAGTTTTGTGAAAATTCATAAATTTGGCATTTCTTGAAAAGCAGTTTTTGAATCGCTCTGAAAATTTGGATATAAGCTTAATTTTTGATTCTCTACAACTTTTCTATTGACACCAAAATGGGTTTCTTTTGAAGAAAGTGCTCAAACTGTCACATATGACAATAGCCGGCAGTTTTCAATTCACCAACCCAATAGTTTAAAAATTTTTGTGTATTTAGTTACTTAAAGTATGTATTGTTGATTTGATAGTATACTGCAGTCAGAAAAGAACTTCAATAACAGTTTAGATGTTAACCTTTTGAATCAATCAAAGCAGTTTTCAATTCACCAACCCAATATTTAGCATTATCGTTGCATTTAAGAATGGCGGTCAACAGAATCACAAGTAGCTTAAGGCATGCTTGTAACTCTTACGGAAAATTAGCCATTATTATTTAGCGTTGCCGTTTCACCAGCTTTCTAATTTCTTCATTTTTACGAATATACATTTCTTTACTCATATATTTACAGAATGGATTTTTTAAAAACTCCAATTTTTTGGCTTTTATCATTTTTCAAGATGTAAATAAAAAATTGCGGCATTAAATTCAAAACGCTAATGCAAATATATCCTTGAGAGTGACCGTCAGGATCACAAACGCCTTTTGATCGTAATAGGTACTTAAACTATTGATACGTTTGACTATTTAGTAGTTACGAGAATTTGAATACAATAATTTGAATAAAATAATTTGAATACAATAATAAGAATGATCACCGGTGGTGAGAAACCCTCGCACTCGTCGGAGTCCCTTTTGCACAACTCAATCACACACTCGTAGTTGAGCGCTTTTGTGTCAGAGAACTTGTATCCGGAGACTTCTGTGAACGCCTGAAAGTAGAAATATGCCAGTTTTTATCATCTTCATCATCAAACTTATCACAAAATTTCAAAGCTTCACTCTAAAACAAACCCGATTTCGCTCATCCTCATATTTCAAATCCGGTTGGATCAACGGATCGATTGCACAACCATCGATGTCAAGCTAGAAACTTGTTTTATATTTGAAAAATTGCATGCGCAACTTGCGCATATATGCACAACTTGTAATAGACTACAATACAATAGTAAATTCTGATCAAAGTCACACTACCAAGTCAAATTTGTATCCTTTTCCGTCAGTGACCGAACAAGAATGGACCAGCATTCGTTGTTCATTGTTATCGCATTCCCAAACGTGAAAGATTTTGTCACCAACTTGTCCTTCTCTAAAAGGCATTTGTTGTTTCCGATTACAAGTCTAGTATTATTGATTTTTAGCCTTACATCACTGGCGGTCCATCCACAGATCCAAGTTTGATGCCATAGCTGCAAGTGGGTGCCGGTGCTGCCTCAACGAGCTCCGTTGTTCCAAGACCGGACATTTCTGAAATTAAGATCAAGCGCTGGCTTTCCAAGCATCTCGCTTTCCAAGTCTAACACTTACCGATAGAATTTGTTAGCATGCTTGTTGATCTAAAGAAACACATGCATCTGTAGGCCCGATCAGCTTTGGTGACAAAAGTCCCGTGAAAGGAAACGACGATTGTGAGTGAGAACATAAGACCCTAAAAAAGAGAACTTAATCACTCTTTGACAAGTAATTTGAATCTAAAATTGAAAAGATTTGATCAAGCAATTGTTTGCGCTTCTCAGATCAAAGCCAAACCTCAAGTTTCCCACTGACTCGATGCCTTTCCATCGCACAATCACCATTGTTGACCACGAGTGAGAATCTGAAATCCATTTAGTTTAAAACTAGATTTAAAACTAAATTTAAAACTAGATTTAAAACTAGCTTTCTTACCTAGATTGATTTGTGTTCTTTGAGAATTGTTGAGCACAGCGTTCATCATCTGATAATCCTTGTACGTAGACTCGTCCAGGAAATGGTTTCTTTGTTTTAAATGTCAATGCCAGCATTGTGTCTTCGCAATCAACCTGAAATCTGATAATTTAATAATGATTAAGATTTAAATTAAGCAATGAATTGCGTTTAACTTTGTCAATGCCTAAGCCTGAGCCTAAGCTTGAGCCTAAGCCTAAGCCTGAGCCTAAGCCTGAGCCTAAGCTTGAGCCTAAGCTTGAGCCTAAGCCTAAGCCTGAGCCTAAGCCTGAGCCTAAGCTTGAGCCTAAGCTTGAGCCTAAGCCTAAGCCTGAGCCTGTTCCAGGAGCCTTTGGGTTCTGCCAAGAAAAGTAGATTGGCAAGAAAAGTAGATTGACAAGAGAAGTAGATTTCCGAAGAGGAATTTCTCATGAAACTGCTAAGCTGATGAAAAGTATAGTACTAGCTCATTTTGTGGAGCAAATGCTGACCTAAGCCTGAGCCTAAGCCTAAGCCTAAGCATAGACTCGATGAAATCCTTTAACTTTAACTCACCTTCGGCTCACCAACAATCTCATTGTCAAACATAAATCCATTCGAGCTCAATAGATAGCAGGAAATCAGAAGAAACAATCGCTCAATCATTCTATCTGAACTAAAAAATGTTTCCAAATCTTAAAATCCTCAAATTTAGTGTGAATAATCAAACAGGGCATCATGTTTTCACGTTTCGATGCGCGATAGAAAAGAAAAATAATTCGTTCGCATGCAAATCTCGGCGATAACAATCTCGATAAACAATCTTTCTCGATGATCTCGCATAAAGATTTACCGACCAAAACATTGCCGATTTTGGAATTTCCGTGTTTGAGAGGATGTTCGAAACACTTTCTAGGATGAAGAAAACAAAACTAGATTAGAAAAATGACTTTTTATCTAAAACAGTTTATTTTATCGTTATCGGATAAGGGATTAAGTTGAGCTTTGGAAGCCCAACTGAAACTGAAACTGAAACTGTAGCCTAAACATTAGCTCATTGTCAGAAAAACTTACCAAATAACTATTTTAGAAGATCTTCCAGATATTTTAGAAGATCTTTCCAGATAAATTTTTGCTTTAAAATAGAAAAGCAACTAGTTATTAGCATAAAATTTCATTGTTCAAGGATTTTTATTCATTTTTACATTGAAAAAGTAAGCAAGGACAGTTTTACTCTTTTAAAATCTTCATCAAGAAGTTTCAAATCCAAGTTTCCAGGTCAGGCCAGAAGCTAGAGCTTGGCTTTTACCTGGATTTTCAAGTTTTGACCTGGGCTGGCATCAGGATTCTAGGCTCAGGATAGAGGCTATAGAACTCACAAAGGAAAGGCAACAGTAGGATGTAGCCAAATGAAATAAGCCATAAACCATTTGCAGCAGATTCACACTGATTCCGAATCTGTTTTTCGTTTTTATAAAATGGCTTTCTATAAGAAGTTCTACTTGTTTTAGGTTTTAGATTGAAAATGCGAAAATGCGAAAATTTAGAGCCGAATAGGAATGCATTTATAAGGGTTCCCTCACGGATCACGAGATGTTTTTGTTACAAGTCTTGTAGTCAGTATACCGTAGCACCAGATCCACCAGGTTTACTTATATTTTAAGGTACGGTACCCGACTAATTAATGCAGCTTTAAATGGTAGACCTTCAGCTTGAAATTAAGCCAAATCTTACTGTATCCATCGTCATCGTATTGGCGACAGGATGAAATCGGAATCTCGATCGTTTTCAAGTTTCATCTGTAAGCAGAAAAGCAGAAATTCATCTGTATTCGACTTTTGCCTTATCCACTTTTTTCTCTTTTGCGCCTATTCTTTTTACACCTATTCTTTTTTTGTTTTCATTAAAGTAATTTCAAATTTCTCTCTTTGTTTCTTCACATTTCTTTTCATCATTTCATTCATTTTATCCCAGGAAAATGATCCATTTGGGGATCATCGCCAAAACTCATTTCGAGTTTGCCATTTTCGACTTAAAAGTGACGTTGTTCTCTTTTTTTTGAATAACTCAAATGAAATATTAAAGATAATCTTTATCTAAGCCTCTAGAAGGATTTATAATAACCTTTTTACTAATCCTAGATCAAGTTCAAACTTTAAAAAGTCAAAGATCAATTACTAATAGCTCTGAGATTTTTAGAAAGTTAGATAAATATTGAAATATTGAAATAATGAAATAAATATTGAAATAAATATTGAAATTTTCCAAGAAAAAGTAACTATAAGCTAAAAATTGACATTCTTAATCAAAACTTCATTCTACTACAAAAAAATTCATCTTGTATTCCCCTTTGTTAAACGAAAAAAACTCTTCAAATGTTTACTATGGCCAAGGACAATTTTCCGTCACTGTGACGTCCCAATTTGTCTGAGATTTTTTCCCCTTTGTCTACTGCTTTTTGTTTTTTTTTGCAAATTTTCATGCATTCATTCATTTGCGGATAAACCAAAATATCACGTGTTTTTCTCGTTTATCTCTAGTCCATTCAAACATTTCCTTTTTCTTTTTCGTTCTACGAATTAGTTGATTGGTTTTGTTGAAGAGTTTTGTCTCAAAATGTCTCAAAATCTTTTCGAAATGAAGTAACATTCAGCAAAGTGCGACTAATTTTTTTCAGATTTGAAATCAGTTCACTTTTTCACGTTAAACAGTGCATCATGGCACATGAAAATCCAATAGATTTTCATTTTTGCGCCGATGTGTACTGTATCAACTATCTCAAAAATAGAGTATCTCAAAATACAGGGTGACCAAGAATTCGCTTGGCTTGGCTTGGCCACAAAAGGCTTGGCTTGGCTTGGCCACAAAGGCTTGGCTTGGCTTGGCCACAAAGGCTTGGGTTTTAACCAAATATGCAATCCATCTCGAAAAGTTAATTTAAGTCACTGATAGTGAATGAATAATAAAAACTGATAGATAAAGCTTGCCTTAAAAGCTAGTGGTTGTTTGTAAAAAACAGCTTTCAACTAGCTAGCTAAAATGAATGAATGAAATGAATTTCACCGGAGTCACCGATTTCAGTGATTTCAGTGAGTCCAGGGTGACCAAGAATTACCGCACCACAATAAAGGCCTGGCTTTTAACCAAATATGCAACCCATCTCGAAAAGTTAACTTAACTTTATTAACTATTAACTTTATTCAACATAAAACAGTAACAAATTAACAATTAAATTCAGATCGGCATCGGCATTCAGACAGGCCTGCAAACGTTTGGGAAACGCGTTGACCGTGGCGAGCAAATAGGCATCATCGAGGGTATCCCATGCTTTGATAAGCGCCTTCTTCAAACTTTCGATATTTTTTTTGTGGTTTTGCACATGCCCCGGCTTCAAGGACACTCCAAACTGAGTTAAGGGGGGGGGGGTTAAGTTAGGTGGGACAATGGGTGAGCTGGGTGGCCACTCAGAAAACGAGATGAAGCCCGGGAAGGTCTTTGAACAAAACTCTTGCACTTTCTTTGTCTTGTGAGCCGGCGCATCATCTTGTTGATAAGTTCAAGTTCGATTTTTGAAATGGCGTTGAGCCCATTCAACCTCCTTCTTTAGCAACTCCAAATAATTGACCGCATTTACTTTCACACCTTGAAGGACAAAGATCAACGGGGAAAGATCCATTGGCGATTATCCCGGCATGGAAAGATCCATTGGCGGTTATCCCGGCATGGAAAGATCCATTGGCGGTTATCCCGGCATGGAAAGATCCATTGGCGGTTATCCTGGCAAAAACGATCACCGATGCAGGATGAGAACTGCGCGAAACGGTGACGTTTGGCTGAGATTTTGCCCAATTTGCCTTGTGAGCCCGCGCACCATCTTGTTGATAAGTCTAAATTCGATTTTCGAGTCCAATAAGTCCAAGAAGTCGAGTCCAATAAGTCCAAGAAGTCGAGTCCAATAAGTCCAAGAAGTCGAGTCCAATAAGTCCAAGAAGTCGAGTCCAATAAGTCCAAGAAGTCGAGTCCAATAAGTCCAATAAGTCGAGTCCAATAAGTCCAATAAGTCGAGTCCAAATTCGAGTTGTTGCGGTAATTCTTGGTCACTCTATATTATCAACAATCAAGAGCATAATACATTTTTGATTGATTTATGATGAAAATCCTCAACTTTTTCATTTCTCTTTCAAAGAAAAATAAAACAATGCAAATGAAATGCGCGAAATTTGATCCCTTAAACCATTTCTGACTCACGAAACAGTATTACCAAAGTTTTGGTGCAAATTCTGTTTTGTTGAGCTGTTTTGGGACAAATTGGGAAAAATTCGGTCATTTATTCAAATCCCCACAATTCTTTTTTGACTTTTGGCTGATTAATCAATTATTATCGAATCATTAATGCATTTCGAAAGTACGTAAAATCGTTTTCAAAATTTGAATTCTGTTTTAATGAATCTTAGCCATACTACATGGAATTTTACTGTTTGTTTCGAGAAAGATTTACGTGAAATCTACCGAATTTTCCTTTTTGGAAGCTTTTCAAATTTAACTACAGAACTTTTCTGAGTTCTTCGAAACACCAAAACAAGTTGATCCTTGATGAACTTAATGAAGAAAAAAGTTTGATTCGTTACGTCAAATCTCCATTCAATTTTGTTTTCAAATTCAATTCTCCATTCAATCTCCATCTCTGTTTTTTCAAGACGTAATTAGTCTAGACTTGTAGTTCTTGATCTATCAGTCTTAAAGCTGAAAAAGGAGTTCCCGGTTCAGATTTTTGATTTTTGACTGATTTTTGACTGATTTTTGACCTGGTTTTTGAACTGATTCAACTGAATTGGGATAATTGTCAAAGATAATCTTTATCTGAATATTCTATAAAGATTTACAATAGCTTTTTTGGTACTTCTTGGTTTTACATCCATAAAGACCCATCTCGGTTAGGCAGGTCCAGCCGAGTCTTCTCGGTTATCGATTTTCGTTCGACTGATCAACTGATCACTTCAAACTGATCGACTGACCACTTCAAACTGATCGACTGATCACTTCGACCCATCGATTGCTCACTTCTGATCACTTCACTGAACATAATCACTCCTCACAAACTGTCAGCTTCTTGTTTAACCGAGATGAGTCTGTGTGGATGTATTAGGTTGGCAAAAAAGAAATGCGCGTTTTCGTTAAAAGTTTATTTTATTATAAAAACAAGATAACAATACATTAATCCAAAAGGTATTCGCCATCTGCATCAATGACTTGTCGCCAACGTTCACGCAGAGAATGGATGCCCTTCTTGAAGAACTCGACCGGCTGCGACTCGAAGAAGTTGGACACCCAAATTTGGACCTCGTCACGGTTCTTGAACTTTTTCTCGGCCAAGGAGTGGTGCATTGATCGGAACAGATGGTAGTCGGAAGGCGCCAAGTCTGGGCTGTATGGCGGATGAGGCAGGACTTCCCAGCCCATTTCTTCAATTTTCTGCTGGGTGATTTTTGCGACATGCGGCCGAGCGTTGTCGCGGAGGAATTTTGTCGACGCCGTATCCACGCCTTGACGTCGTAGCGCCTGGTCCACGCGGTCCAATTGGCCTTGGTAGAGGTTCGCCGTAACTGTTTGACCCGAATCCAGAACCTCAAAGTATACCAGGCCTTTACTGTTCCACCAAACACAAA